TCCCCCTCTCCACCGTGCTTTGTAGGCGGGTCCGAGAAGGGCTCGTGACGTTGAGGCGGCTCCCCCCCCCCCCCCCCTCCCTCCCGGTTTAAAGGGGGGCCCCCCCGCCCCCTTCTCAAGAGGAGAGGGCTGGCGAGCGAAAAAGAAACGTAAAAAGGGACTGAGACGTGTCGGCCCCGGATTTCCCGATAAAAGGGGGCATAAAAAAAAGGGGGCAAAGCAGCCGGGCGTTAAGCTCCTCCTCTGCTCTTACCCGACGACGCTGGAATAAATAACGATCGTCGATTTATCGCGGCCAGAGAGAGAGATACGGCCGGGCGGGATGGTAAAGAAAAAGGAGCAAAAGTTGTTTTGTGGGGGGAAAGGGGCATTTCTCCTTGCGGGCCGATGATAGTGGCGCCGCATTATTATACGGGGTCGGCGAAGCGCCGTAGGCAGAACGGCCGGCTAACGAAGCCGGCCAGAGGGCGCGGTCGTTTCCACCAATGGGGGTCCAGTGACGTCACACCCCGCCACGAAGTCGCGGCTGTGCGTGCGCCGCCGCTTTTGCGTCTCGTGAACGGGCACGCCGGTCGTGGTCCCGCATAATTCGGGCTCGGTCAAGGGGGGGGGGGGGGGGGGGGGGGGGGGGGAAGCTTATCGAGAGCTTCGCCTACCTCGGAAGGTCTCTTGGCTGCGCGAAACTGGCGCCGCGGAAGCAATCGGGGTTTCTGCCCAAACTTCGCGAGATTGCAACGTTTGGTTTTTCTCCCCGAAAAATGTCGGGACAAAAAAAAAAAAAAAAGAATATATATATATATTTATTGAGAGTTGTAGACCATTTAAGCTAATCTCTATTTCGTAAAACCCTTCTTTTTTTATTTTTTTTTTTTAATCTACGGTTTTTAAATGTAAAAAGGTACCAGGAAATGGATGCACGTCCGACCGCGCGAGAAATCAACTGACTTGAAGGGTGCTGCCATCTGGCGAAAAGTCCGCGTGTTAAAGTGGAACGATGTTCGGAGCGCCATCTATGTACGGAGACTGAAACTACCGCTTGCAAGTGTGGGTTCGGCTTCGGCGAAGGACTCCGGCAAAGCGGGGTACTAAAACGAACCCCGACAGAGCGAGCTGATGCACTTTCCTCGTTTTGTCTGCGTGTGCGTTATCTCGAGTTCGAGGTGATTAGTTCATTATCGCCGAACGATGACGTGTACGCTTTGTTCGCGTTATGGACGGCTAGCTGCCATCTGTCGAGGGGAACGAATAAGGCGCCGTCAGTCGCCGTTAAACCCGCCCCCAAGAAAAAAAGAAAATAAAGAGAGGAAACATTTTGTTCGCTGAAATCGGAGGACACGTTATCAGAGGCGATTTTTTTTATATTTTCAAAAACCTGCTTTCGAGACACGGGGCGTCTTGTATCGAAGGAGCAATCTGAAAATACGTTTGTAATGCCGTGGCGATGATCGTAACGACGTCATTTACCGTCCGGAAAGCCGGCAGTTGCGCCGGTGATTAGGCCTTGCCCGCGTACCACAAACAACCTTCAGGGGCTTCAGGAAATGAGCTCCCGTGGACGCTGCGACGCCCCGGCACACTCATTAACGCCATTAGCAGCGAGCCGTTAAATCGGACCATGAAATTCTGGAACGAACGACCAATAAACGGGAGACGAAAGCAGAAAAAAACAAAAAAAAAAAACATAAATAAAGAGTGGGATCGCTTGTTTTAAACGAATAACTACGCAATGCTGAAAATGCCGTAAACAAAAAAAAAAAAAAAAGAAAGAGGAAGCAGGAAATTCGTCTTTATTTTTGGTTTGCTCGTTGCGAAGGGGAGCGCCACGCAACACAACACAACAACAACAAAAAGAAGTCGACGCAACCCACGACCTCCTCGTGAACGCATCGAGCAGAAAACAAAAAGGACGGAGGCGGGCAGTGCGGGAGGACGCCATTGGTGCATTCCTCCTCGCTCTCGAGGCGCTGGGCGGAGTCAGGCTCGAGGAAAAATCCATTCGCTCGCTCTTCAGTGCGGGGCCATTGTTGCTCGAGACAGCTCTTTTTTTATATTTTGTTTTCGTTCTTTTTGTTATCTCTTTCTTCCTTTGGCTACCGCCTTGTATTTTCATTCTCCAGTCGCGCTGACGGGGCTGTCTCGACGCTGCTGCTCGCAAATCGAATCTGCCCGCTGCGGATTTTGCCGGCAACCTCGTCGCCGCGGAACAGTTTGCCGCCGTTGGTTGCCGCCGTTCCTACAGGAGTTCAGGTTTGTCGAAAGCCGCGTCGTCGACCAGCACGCCGTGAACACGCTACAGTCGGGTGCCGCTTCGGAAAGTTTTCGGCCGCGGGCGCTCCCCGAGGGAGAGACCTCCTAATGCGTGGACAGAGGCACACCGTGGGGGGGAGGGTAGCGCGATGGCGGCCCCCGAGCGAGAGCTTCCAATTGGCTACGGCCGCCCGTGGATCGATATCGTACCGTGCGGGCGCTGGGAGACCCCGCCGGAGGGGCGAGGATTGACGTTTTTTGTTTTTGTTTTTTTTCTCGGCGCAGCTGCTCGGGACCCAACCACCAAACGCACCTTGCGTGGACTTGGGGCGCCCAATATACGGGCAGGCTGAACTTTCGACTTTGCCAACACCGAGCAGTAGTGGAAACATCGAAACACGCGATACGCCCTCTGGTTTCTTCTCCCGCGGTTTTCGCCGGTGGTGAAAAATACCTGGCTAAAACGAGACTGACGATTTGCAGCTAGTTGTGATGGTGCTGCGGTGTGAAAACCATCGTTTCATTTCTTTCATATTTGATCGACCTGGTGGGACAACGATTCCTGCTTGCGTCTCCCTCGTACTAGAATATACGACTAAGCTTTAACATCACTCACATACGCCAGAAGGTAGGATGACACCGTCTGCACCACAAAACCTATCTTGCAGAACTTTGAAACTGCAGACAGTCGGTGTACACAGAAGTAAAGAGTTTGACACTGGTAGCATATCTCTTTCTTATTACCAATGTTGCCCAATATACTCATGAATTGCTAAAGCAGCATTTACTTCTGTCGAAGCAAATTATAAGCCCTTACAGGCATTTTGAACCATTGGTGATGCAGGAATTTCCCTCAAAACCCTGGTGGGTGGTCTCTGGGGTCACATAGAGGTGTATCTGTGTGATAAGCATTTGTTAGACTAATTTGCCACCTTCCAAGTCTAAAGTACCCGTGCAGCCCCTGTAAAGTAGGTCATTTGTGACACAGCAGGTTCTTGAGACTCTTGTCTCTTGCATCACACAAGTTTTTCAGAGCTTTTCTTCTGACAGCCTCACAGCAGTGGTGTAGCCAGGGGTGAGGCTTGCTCTTACGTCAACCCTCCCTCCCCCTCCCAAAGCCCAGTGGACCCTATAATATGAACCTGCATTTTGACCCCTCCACACTCCAAGCCATAGACATCCCCCCCCCCAAGAAAAAAGATTTCTGGATACATTACTGATTTTTACAGAACTCGCTTTCTTTTTTGTTACTTTCGTTTGTTGTCGACCTGTAGACAAAATGGTAGCAGCTGTTGTTTGCTGCTATTTTGACTTCAAGTTTACTGCACAGGCTAACCAGGAAATCCAGGTAGCTTATATAGGGTGCCGTTCCAAATAAATCCTGATGCCCTGAGGGAAGCAACAGAAAACGTAGGTGTAGTCTTGAAACTAGACAAGCAGATTTAGGCTTGTTGCAAACACTGGATAACGATCCGGCAAGCTTTCTGCAACCACAAAATAAAGAGGTAAAGTGTGACCAGCTAACAACGGTTGAGGATGAATATTCGGTTAATGTTTCTCATAGTTTTCTTAGTTTAATTTATCCAGAAGGAAAGAAAAGATAGAAGGTATACATTCAGAAATTTCCGCGGGAAGACCTCGAAGCCCCAGTTTTATACAAAACCCATTTAGGCATACTACTCTTAGAGAGAGAGAAAAAGAATATGAATATTATGAAGTGTATGGGCAGCCTTAAATATGATGTGCAAAAGTTTCTACGGCAACCCTCACACTCGTCAGACTTGACGACGGAAGTGTGGGAATCACCCTCGCATTTCTGGGGGTTTCACAGAACACTGGCCACAAGTTGCCTGCAATAGTTATGCATTGCGCCGCAAAAAGTATTGGATGTCGTTTTAGTCACTGCCAAGGTACTTATTTATGCAGATACACATAGTGCAGCTGGGAAGTATGGTTCTTGATTGGTTTTTATAAACCACTTTTGGTTAGTAAAAATGAATATTTGTTCTGATTAGAGACCGGCTGGGAATGTTAGGAACATCACTAAAGCGGTGAATTTTAGAAAGACTTGGAGTGGTCTGGGAAGCTTAATGGTGCACAAAAGTTGCCGCTTGGACTGCAGGACGCAGGGCTGACGGAGCCAAAATGCAGAATGATAAGAAACGGGAAAACCACGCAAACATGTTGTTGGAAGCATTTTTGTAACCCAAAGAACAGTGCACTCCAAATATATTTAAAATTGACCGATTTAGTGGTTTTCAATGATGTCCAGCAAGTCTCAGACTGGAATTGCAAGTTTGGTTCCACCAATTAAAAAGTTTATAATGAAGAACTAGTTGGATGGAATTCCTTTCAGTGATATGTACCCCTTTTGACAGCGACTAATGTTATATCAATCTTAAATTTGTGCCATGCATTATATTTACGCAAACTTTGACGAGCATTTCATGACGCACCCGGTATAATGCTGCTTGGTTCTGCCCCATCCCGGTATAAGGCTGTGCCATTCTGCAAAAAGTAAAAGGTAATGATGTGTAAAAGCTAGCCCATGCAAGAAATTGCATTCTCTCATGTTTTGGGGGATGAAGAGTGCTGATATTATGCAGTTTCCCCTGAGGGGGCAGGATTATGTCATCCCCACCTGGCTCCTGGTTGAAATATATTGGTCCGGTTGGTTGTTTATCTATTCCAGTGCTTCAGTCAATGCTCTAGATAACTCAGACGAAGCTTGCTTGTTCTCTGTCCTTGTGCAGGGTGCACCATGATGGCTGCCTGAGTCCCAACTGGGGTTCTACTGCAAGCTCTGTTGAGTGTGTCCAGCATGGTCTCCACCCAGACTGCCATGCCCCCTCCGGCGCCACCGCCCCCTGTCAGTTCTCCAATGAATGTTCAGCAGGTCAGGATTGTTCTGCAGTTCATAAAGGTTGCATTATTGGCGGCAAAAGAAAAAGAAAATATTGCCGGTGTTTGTATTGCGAGGCATCAGTGTTGTCCCGGCACGTTCAAAATGTTCTTCACAGTGCCCAATGATTTGACAGCGCCCACCGGGTACCGTGATTGCCCGTGCAAGAACTGTGCCAGGATGAGATCTGCAACAAATATGTTGCACCTTTGCCAAATTGACCCAGACGACATCTTTGATTTCCCGATCACCGCAGATGAGTGTTGGGTGTACTGTTGCGATTTCAAGGCGAAGATACTAGGCGAAGAGTAGAAGCATGCGGGCATATTTAACACCCCTAAAAAGGGTGACACAGAGCCTTCACCGGGGAACGTGATGATTAGCGTTTTTGGGACTGCAGATGGTGTGCTCGGCACAGATAAAGATGACAGTAAAGGCCAAACGGCCACAGGGAGATATTACCGGGATCTCCTTACTGGGTTCAAGCATTGCAGGAGGCTAACCAAGGGGGTGCATTTGCTCCAGTGCAACGCATCAATGATGTGTGCGGCCGCTTTGGGCTATGAAATTGTGCTTTTGTATTCACCCGCCCTGGCGCCAAGTGACTGCATGGAAAGCGTTTCAAGGATGACGATGAGGTGATTGTTGAGGTAAAGCACTTCCACTGATCCAAAAGGAAGACTTCTACAACCAGGGTATCTGCCATCCCATCAGTCGATGGAGAAGTGTGTTGCTTTATTGCATGATTCATATGTGGAGATAGACTTACCTAACCATTGACACTTGTGATTTTGGCTCTCTTTCTTCACGGCAGTAACAGAAACCTTATAAGTGTCCCTCATAGAAACTTGCAAGCCTCCGATTCCTGTGAGCCTGCTTTGCCATTCTGAGGCAGGCTGCCAACAGCCCGCAAAAGCTGTGACAATGAGCTCATAGTTTTCTGAGGTCCTCTCAACTGCATAAGTGCAGCACTTGTGGCATTTGTTGACTGCTCACTCAAATACTGGTGAATCAGCCTAGTAGTTGTCAATGAACATGTTGACCCAGGGACTGAAATCTAGGACCAACGGGCAAGCACAACTAAGGCTCTAAAGGAGCTTGTCCTTTCTCCATGCTTTCTGGCCTTATGGTTCCTATGATCATTGGTCATCACCTGTACTACTAGATGTTTTTCATCGATGCTTGGCATCTTCATGGTTCTATATATCTTGAGTCTTTTATTTCTTATCATACTGCCTGAGGTGCACATAAAGTGCTTCTGTTCCCCCTCGTTTCTTTCTTCTTCGCAATGTCATTATTTTATGATTTCGAAATGCCGTCAGCCAAAAGGCAGAGTGCAACCTTTGGCTATTTTGCTCTTGGATGGCCCGTCTATAATGTCAAAAATCTCCGAGGCTTGTTGCAGGTCTGAAAGGTCGCAGTGGACCTTGTAACTTCAGTAGAGTGTTTGAGGCACGATGGCGTCGAATGCGGCACTAAAGTTTATGTGCATGTTCTTAGTTGGTGCTGCCCATGCTTGCTAATAATTATGAACTTGCCCTCGGAAACGCAGGTCATGATAGCCCCAGACAAGCTTCCAAGTTTATAGGCTAATGGGTGCCCCCCAACTTGGTCGGTTTGAACAGGTCCCACAACAGGTGGTGGTGAGTGCTCCAGCCACCATGGCAGTGACGACGTCGGTGGCAGTGTCCCAGGTGCCGAGCCACGTCACCATGACAACGAGCGCGCTGGGACAGTCGCCAATGAACCCGCCCCCCCACTCGTCCACATGTACGGTCATCCCGCAGCAGACGATCCAGAGCATGGCCCAGTCACACATGCAGCCGGTGAGTGGAGCTGTTTCACACCAGAGCACGACTGTCTGCTTGTAGTCTGAAAGCTATTTTGACGTGCTCCACAATGATGTGAATGTCAACCTAGCTAACCTAGCAGAGCCACACTGTAATCCGTCCACATTCCTTGCTACCGTTTGAAAAATAACATCGAACATAAATGTGTCTTTTCTCTTTTATATGTACCTCTCTAGGCAAGAAGCAAAGAGATCTTCGGTTTGCAAAGCACTTCTGTTTGCTCTGCCGTTCCCTCCGTGACTATATGTACAGAAAAAGTGTTTATTTTGGACCTCGTTTTCTTGTAGTCTTCAGAACTTGGCTGTTTTATGCTGTCTCAATTCAGTTGCATCTCCGCTAAAGTCCGCTTTGGTGCACCTTGAGAAAGCCTGTCAGAAACAAGTTTTGTACCTACTCACTCCGACTAGGTCTGAGCAAAGAGGCCACGAGGTGTGTCAGCTGTTGCATGATAACCAACTTGGGCTAAAACGAATTGTGAATAGTAAAATCCTTAGCTTCAGGCAGTAATTTTAAAATAAAATATGATTATGTGTGTCAGTTTGGATAAGTATATTTATTAATTGCATTTCTTGGGGTTTTATCATAGAAACAGGTGTAAGAGAGACAGCCCTACTCTTTCTTGTATAGACGCTTTGCAGCAGCTAAGCATGGACGCCGCCATAACTGACCTTCAGTTTTTGTGTCCTCTTGTTTCGTGTTTTTCACTTCATCATTACCATAGCAGGCCAGATTATTGCCATATTAGATTCAACTGTGTCCTTTTCTAAAGCATCGGCCTTTGTAGAGGATCGCCAACTACCGTTTCAGTCGCTCGGCATCTCGGTAAGACAAGAGAAGGTCAGCAATGGTGGCTGTAATTTGGCGCGTGTGTAAAGCGTCTATAGATATCTCGTCTCTCCTAGTGGTCAAACCACAAGAAATAGAATATTCTACATTCTATTTTGTACTTTTGGAATTACACTTCATTATGGTTATTATTTAAAGAGAAGCCACTTCATGTGTCTCTTTTCACGGGTAATGACAAGTGTGCCAATGTGTGCTGTTCATGCCTGCCCTTGGGAGCGTATGACAACACAGTGCTGAACTGAGATTTCAAGACACCATGTTGTTGTTCCAGAACTTGTGAACGCACAACACCGATTGTTTATACTTGCAACAAACATAGAGCTCCTTTTGTTTTAGTTTTGACAGGATATTAACATGCTAGAAAAGGGCCCCTAATGGTATTGACCGTGCTCTGTAAGGCCAATATTATTTACTTGCGTTCCTCGAGCCACTGAAGAAAAGTTTGATTTGATGGGGGTGGATGTGCCATCCATGAATCTGGCAACAACAGCTGCTGTGACTACGGGGCAGAACACCAATGATGTCATGTTGCGATGTCAAAGCTCGACATTGTTCCTGGTAAAGGAGGAAGGGTCTAATTTGAAGGGGTATGTCAATTTTCAGTTGGAACTTTAAACGAAAGCATGGCGCAGTTATACATCACTCAAAAATATTTAGCCCAAGTAAAGCGAAAATTGTTTCCCAGCCCCATGTAGATATGGGCAGTTTCTGACCTTTCCTGGGGCACTTTTATGCCTACCAATGGTCACACTATGGCAACAATCAGGAGCATGTGCTCAAATACTGAAACAGACCAAGATTGATGTGGGGTGGGCCTGGCGCATGCTGCAGTTGTCTCGTTAATTGGTTGGCTCGGTAATACCCTTTCGCGACGGTTGCTCCGAGGGAAAACCCTGGTGCATAGTTGCGTTTTCCAGCAAGTTGAAACCTTGACCGAGGAGCCCACGCTCTCTCGGAAAGTTGATGTGGGATGGACGTAGTAGAATCAAGCCTTCACGGTAGAAATTAATCCTGATTTGCAGGTTGTTCATTTGAAATGCAACACCGTAAGCTTCGGTGCAAGGTACGTGTGGACATTTGCAAGGAGCTAGACCTTTCTTAAGTGTGGTGGGGTTCGCGGGCTGCCACCGAAGGCTGTGTTTTATATCTTGGTCGAGTAGTTCCGAGTAACTCCCGTGGGTCATATCGGACGCTAACGCAGGTAGCGCGATGCTGGACGCTGGTAGCTTTCGGAACGCCAAGGTACGAAACCTTTACTCTGGAGCGAGATTGAGTCGAAAGAACCGACGCTGAAACGAACCCGCGCTCCTTTGGACCCCACAGGTGCAGGTGATCCAGCAGCCGCTGCACAACCACGCCTACCTGCCGCAGCTGTACTCTGCTCAGCAGCAGATGCTGCTGCCGGGAAACCTGACGATTCAACAGCACAACATGGGAGCGCTTCAGGGTCTCAACCTGCAGCTGCAGCAAGGCAAGGCCCCCGGACACGTGGACCCTTCCAAGGGCAACGCTGGACCCCACGGGACCACGACCATCATCCCTGCCGTCTCCATCGCCGGTGTCACCCCCGGAGCCAAGGTGAAGCCCCGCTCGCGTCTTCCGTTTGTGTCCTTGTGTTCGCCGTGTCGAGCGGAGCCGGCATCACGTTTTCGGAGGCTACCTAAATGCGTGTACACATAGACATTTGCAGCCATCTTATGTGTCCTGTCGTGGGCTTCACTGGTGGTATCCTCGCGGAGGTCAGTCCCTGCTTCTAGAGCCTAATTGCCAGTTGTCTGCTGGGGAGGTGTCGTTCTGCCGAGGCCCAGGATTGCTCTCGAGAGTATAACTGCGACAGCTTTGGCCCACCGCCAAATCCTTCTTGCCCGTTTTCTTCTTGAACAACCTTGCTCTTTTTTATCTCCGCCAATTATGACGTAGAGACTCGAGAAGTTTGATGCGGTCTCTGCACCAATGTAGGTTTTTCGGAAAAACAAGCGGAGGTAAGGCAAAAGGGTCCTTTACTTCACTAAGCAACAGAGGCACATAAAGCACCTCTGGCTAAGGTTTCTGTCGTATTTTTATGCATCAATTGTCACGGTTACTTCTCGTTAATATAAACCATATTAGATATCCCACTATATTGAGACAAGTTTGGCGACTGATCTCCCCACATTCAATTCTACTTCTCCGAGAAAAGCCGAAAAGAGGAGAACACAAGCCATGAGTGTATGGGCGTACCAACGGAAGAGGCAAGCGCGCTTGCCCCCCCTCCCCCAGTTCTCAGAGTGGGGGGCAAGGCCCTTCCCCCCCCCCCCCCCCCCCCCCTCCCTTCCCCCCTGAAACAGCCGCTACTGCATCGGCAGGGCAAACATTGGCCGGCGGCGTCCAAGGGATACCAAGGGCACCGCTCCCCAGCCCTGGGAGGGGGGGTGTGGTCTGGTTTGCCCCCCCACTCAAAAACAAGTTGGTACGCCACTGGCCATGAGGTCATGGAGCGCTTAGAGAATTTTGCCACGCTCAATTTTTTAGTGGTGTGTTTTATGTCCTAGTCTTAGTTGAGTGAAAAACTGCAACAATTGGCACTGACAAGCCTCAAACATGTGCATGCAATGTAAGTAGCATATGAACTACGAGTAAACTGACGCACCCTCTCCGTGGCATGTTTACAAGTTGCAAAGTTCCATGTCTCTGCATAACGAGAAGCCGAAGTGTCGAGGGAATGGAACGATCTGGCGAAGACCGCATGCGTGTTTCCTCTGGGGGATATGTGCGGATAAATATTCTTGTCAAATGCATTCCAGGACCTTCGTAACACACCCATTGCCATGGGTACGTATGTGAGAGCAGGCATGATCGAATGGCAAGTGAACGCGTTTATTAAGTACTGTAACATTCGGGGAAGAGCCTTCGCACATCCATACTTTCTATGGAAAGCATAGAGTGTGCTAGTTTATTGTTCTTTCCGCTCGTGCCAGTTGGATCATGCGGCAGGCTGTATGAAACCACCTTGCGACGCCAATGCTGCTTCCGCCGCCGTATATTGCCGGCCACTGCCGCGCAGTGCTCCGGAATGAGTGCAGGGCTGCTTTGCTGGAAGGGGCGACGCCCATTTTGCGTGCAGGGGGTGAGCATGAGCAGTGCCCCGACGCTGGTGACGACCAACGGGCAGATGATGGCGGCAGGCGGGGGCAAGCCCTGCCTGCCCACGGCCCAGATGCTGGCCAAGGGGACCGTCATGGGGCCGGGCACTTACGTGCCTGCAACGAGCGCCAACCAGCAGACACTGGTCATCAACCCGCTGGGCATCCTCTCCACAGGCCAGAGCATCCTGCCCGCGCAGCACGGCCCCAAAGGCCTGGACAAGGGCAAGCCCTACGTGAGTTCCTTCACCTCTCCGCCTTGGGGGGGAGGCTGCCGGCTCGGATTTCACGTCCCGCTGCTTTCAATGTGTTAAAAATTGTCCGTCGACATCCCCCACAATCGCCGCCCCACGGCTGCGGCGTCGATTATACGTTGGAAAGTTCCCGTCTAAACGCAAAGCTGCGTGCGCTCAGGGAGATGTTGCTGTCTGTTATGTCTTTGGGGAACTATATATTCGTTTTATTCGATGCTCTGCTTGAAAAATAGCTGGAGGAGGCCGCTTGCTTGATTGTTGCTCCTGGGGTGGTGGCAGTCGAGTGCTGGATTTTTCTAGTCAGACTTCCAACACTTCTCAAAATTGAAATCGGAGCATGAGATTTCGTTATCCAATGTAGAAACTTTCCAAAGTACATCCGGTCCAGAGTCTGAGACAGCCAGAATGTTGATTGGAAGCGGACGAGCGAAAAACCCGAATGGAAGAAAGTCTACAACTTTTCACCCTCAATGTTTTCTTTTGATGCTTTCTCAACCTGGACAGCTTGCAAGCACTGTATGTGCTTCCATTGACTTTATCTTAGCGCTATCCTTTTTGAGAAAAAAAAATAAATCTTGACCGCAAAAGGGTAAACTCTTTTCTTACTGCAGGAAAAATGCTGTTTTGGGGTGATCTCATTAAAAAAAATTATTTAGGCACAAATTTTGCTTCTACGTGTGCCAAAGCATTCCAAAATGTAGTTAAAGGAATTCTCTTTTCAGAAATGTAAATGGCAAACAAGATATTTATTATATAGCACGAGGAAAAAAATGTTATGCAAAATTTGTGTAACCAGCATGGAAGTTTTTATTTTAGTTCAAATGTGCCTCGCAAAGTATTAAGAGTAAAAAAAGAAATCCAAAATATACATTTTGTACCTTACTCTTCTTGAAACCAATTCCGCAATTTTGAAAAGCCTCCCTGCAAAACTTCTTATTCTGCAGAAAATAAAAGTTAACCTCCGTGATCACTGTACCACTCCCCAAAGCCCCAACCAAAGCATTTCGTGCTGCTTCGTAACGTTATGCCGAGGTTGGTTCCGGGCTACCTTTGGAAGAAAACTACATCATGGGGGGGGGGGGGGGGGGCACCGGGCGATGTCGAGGCTGGGCTGGCCAAGCAAGTAACCACACATGTGCGGTGGGCGGACGCTGCACAATCTTTAATCCGATGCTGATGTGCTTATATACAGATGGTGGCATGATAAACAGTGCCCTCTATATACACCACTACACTTGTTCCGCTGCTGATGGCATAAAATCGTGTCTGTATGAGGTTGACACCCTGCAGATGAAGAATAATGCGTTATGAACACGCCCAGTATCTCCACAGAAGCTCACAAAGGCAATAAATGCGCTCGGCACGCAAAACGAAACATGCCAACAAGCACCTGCGGTTAATTCTGGCTGGTTCGACCCATTTCTACAATCGAAACCAAGGAATGAACGTCATCTTCTGACCTGCTTCTGGCACTTTTGTCTCCGAAAGTGATTTTATATTGCATATTTCAATCGCGAGTCGCATGATATTTTCGAGGGGCGTAGGAGTGCAATGAGGACGTCATGCTCGATACAATCGCTTGCGATCCAGGGACTTTAGTATCACAGAAAAAATCACTCCCTCGTGGAACCTTAGGAACCGAAACTCAAAGTAGAGTTTATACTCTGTGACCTCCTAGATGTTGCCGCATGTCTAAAAACGGTGCGCAATGCATTGAAATGGGGGTTTGAAATTTATCGGTCAAGTTGATCAATTCGAATAACCTCGGTAAGGAAAGATTTCTAAAGGGGTTAGGACACGTCAAAAATAAAATACGAGGTAACTTATATTGCTAGGGCCCATTGTATATGTTCCTACATTTTCGCTAAGTTTGTTTCGTGAATGGCACGATAGTTTCATGAATAAATCAATTTATTCGCAATACCCTCAGAACCACCCCCTTCAAAAAGGCCGCCATGTTTGGTGGGTCGGCGACATACTTCTCCCACCGCTCTTGATGACACGGCATCCCCTTGCACCATGGAAGTTGGAAACTTCCAGAGGCGACATGACGCCACCAGAGGTGAAGCCGGGGGAGACTTCCGGTTTGGAAGGACACAATCCCAACGATGACCAAAACCAGAAGACTCTATTGGACGAAAGGAAGAGCCGATCTGGCGCCAACAGCTGTTTTGGTCACTCTTGGGGGCATTCCCACCGACCATGACCTCTACTTAAGGCTCCACTCGGGATTTTTTCGTTTAGCCGGCTCGAGCCGGTAGTTGTCGCCTTTTTTTCTTCCTACCTCCATGCCTCGCAAGCATTGGCAGACTTGGTTTTCTCGGCGTCTGGCGCTTCGGTTCCCTCGCTTACCTTGTGCGTTCTGAGCCTGCGGTTTTGAGATAACAATGTCTACAGCGTCACCCACTTCGTCGGAGTCTTCGATGCCGATCGCAGCGGCGATAAGAGCGATTGCTATCGGAGCGTGACTGTCGCACTTCTGGACAAATTCTCTGCATTTTTAAGAGAGCTCTCTTTGTTAGCGATACCGAGCAAAGTTTTATTAGGTCTTTTAAACATAGCTGCACTTAGTTGGTTCTCCCCCCACGGCTTTGTTGTTTTGTACTGCATTGCTGCAGGCGGGGTTGAAAAGGTCAATCATGCCTCTGTTCGCTCTGTAAACTAGAACAAATTCATCTTGCAGGACAGGTTCCAGGTGTCAGTGATAGGTAGGGTGACAAAACCTTCTACACCAATGCAGTCCCCAGAACCCACAGTCCGAAAAAGCCTGCGTGTTTTTGCACTTTTTTCGATAACCAGATTGCTGTGGATTGTTCTTTAAACATAAACAATTCAGGGGCAAAGCAAATACATTCCGAGAAAGTTGCTGACCTTTCAGTCATTGGAGAGCAAAAATTAAATGAAGACACTTAAGACCGCTTACATGTAGGAATGCATGAGCATTCCTACACGCAGCACATTCCTACAAGCAGTGCTCCACATCTTCCTTTTTCACACGACGCTCTGGCGGTGACATCTCGCTCCCCCACTGCGCAGGCGCGGCGCCCCTAACGACTTCATGGCTTCCGTGGCAATACATCTGCGTTGCTGTGCTTTTCTTTGTGGTTTATTTCTGAGGTGTGTCCACTTTGACCTTTAGCGCCCCGCCGGCTTCCATGACGAAGCATCTGCGTTGCTGTGCTTTTGGATAATGGGACTTTAGGTGTCGTTTTCGCTGCTACAGACAATGGCTACCGACAACGCCAACTTTGCTCCATGGAACAGTTAATGCTTTCACATTAATAAGGGCCTTTGTAAGCTCACTTTGGTACTTTTATAACACCTATACAGTTACGCACTCTTTGCTTTCTATGCAAATATTGTTGGTTAATTGAACAATGCATTGTGCATGATGTGTAGTAGACACAGCATGTATGCAATGAAATAACATGTGTATGACCGTCTAGACTAAGCTCGTCACTTATTAGGCTCAATTGATTGGGTTCTAGTGGCGGAAAATCATCTAAGGCTATAATGCATCATAAATTAGACTATGCTAGACTCATCACAGACCCTCATTCTGCAGAATTCTTTCTCGGCGACTTTAGAAAGTGGCCATCTTTGTTTCGTCATTGTTCCCATACACAGCTTAAAGGTGATGTTTTTGTGCCATGCTGGCAGTCATTTCTACTTGTTCTTGCTAAGAAAAAGAAATATGGCAGCAAGAAATGTATGCTGCACATGGTCTGTATTGAGCAGCAAAGCCACCACAATGGCAGCTGATGTGACGTCATTGCGAACCATCTATTGGAAATAGTGACGCTGGTAGGGGTGGCAGCCTTTCTCGGGTACTGCTTCTGATTGTTTGGAGGTGCGATATTTTAGCTTTGGTTAGGAAAGACGTCGCTACGAACTGGCATTAAACACTGGTCAACTTGATGCCTGGCAATCAGTTTCTGCCATCATGCTTTTCTTGATCCTGGAGAGATTCTACCTCTTCTATTGTTTTCTTTTTTTATCTGTTGGGGCAAAAATATTTTTGTCTAAAATGTGAATGCTGCTTCGCGACGAAGCTTCACTGTGCTTCTTGCTTGTTGTGCTGCTGCTGGTTTGCTTTGAGCTGTTTTTTTTGTAGTTTTTTTGCATTACCCTGTATGCCTTTTTGTTTGGTCAATAGCACTGGCAGATATTGTAGATACTAATGTTTTCTGACAGTTAACTAATTTCGGTCACTTGCAAACTAAACTGTTTTTCATATGAAGGAACTAGAGGTAAAACAAACCTTATTGAGTCCAAAAACTGTTTCAGAGATCACCAAGTAATGATGCGTGGAATCGGAGCAGTTTGCTGCCTTGTGTGAGATCGGTCAGAGCTCCGTTTCCCATCTGGATACTAAAGTGGTTTCGGAACACCCTCTCGGTGTGAATTCGTTTGAAACCTAATTATGGGAAAGCTTCAGAAGTCGAAGGGTCAATTGCGCCATCTGCTTTGTGGCAGCCACAATCTTTCTTTTGCTATGCCTCAACCACCGGACAATTTTTTTTTTACCCTATCTTTTTCTTGAAAGTTTTGTTCCTGGCTAGAACAGAGTTGGTGTTGCAGTGTGGGTGGGTGCAATAGCAGTAGTGGCAATGGCCTCTTTCAGAGTGTGAGGCTTGCCTGCTAGGGGCTTTTCCCTCTCTCCCAGATGTCCCCCCCACCCCCAGGCTGTTCCCCCTGTCTCAGTGTTACCTTGTGGTGCTTTGTTTCCCGTCCAGATGGTAAAGCATGCTTCCTTGATGTCCCACAAGGTCCCCACCTCTTACGCCCAGGTCAGTGGGAAGGACACCCCCTTTTGGTTTTCTCCCCCTCTTTTCCCCCTCTCCCTCTGTCCCAAGTGTTGCCAACTGTTGCCTTCCCCTGCAGCTGCAAAAAAAAAAATGCCTCTTTTGAAAGTGCTCTAACCTTTCTTTCCTCGTGTCCAGAGGTGTACCGTGGACAAAGTGTCCACTGACGACAGTGTGTACGCGGTATCCTTCGGAAATAAGACGCAGGCGTCCGTAAACTTTTGGAAAGGTTTTATATAATAATGCCGCTGGATGTTCACAGAGTACCACTGTATGTAGCTTCAAGAATATGTGCTGCATCCGGACTTTTACCCGTGCTGCACACAGTCTAGTTTACAGACTAGGTAGAAAGGTGCCAAAAGTGGACAGGCTGACATCACAAAACACATTATTTCTATTTAAAACTATCGTGCTTTGTGGTCTGGCAAAAATTATGAATGTATCGTATTTTCTGGACTATAGTCCACACCCAGTGTATAGTGTGCGGGGGCCGATTTCAGCTGAAAAACAAAAAGCTTTTGCTTAGATAGTGGGCACCCGGTGCATAGTCTGCGCTTAGTGCCTAATCCGAGCGTAAAAATTATCATACAGAGCACATCTTGACAAATTCCTGCTGTATTAGTTCACAAAAGAGCTTTGCTATACATAAATCACATTAATATACTCTGTTATTCATAAAATTCTTCACGTCTTGTTGCAGTGAATGACCTAGAAGAATACAAAACCTTGTATAGTCCGCACCTGTTGATAGTCCGCACTGGGTAAAAGATTTTAGGCATGTATAGTCCGAGGACCATACGCCGGAAAGTATGGTACCTCTTGTTTTAAAAAGGGGGCACAATTGCACACTATTTCCAGTTCATGCTCAGCTGCCTCCATCTATGCTCGGCTGCTGTTTTTTGTTTTCTAGTTACTCCTCCCCTTTTTGAAACCTGGCAAAACCGCCAGAACACCTGTGCAGAGCTCAAAAGCCATTGTTGTAAAATTTCTTACACTGCTGCGGCTACTTTCCCAATTTATGCTAAAATTTTATGGCTGTTCTTTTCCTTTGCGGCGCAACTGTCGCGACATATGGGTTGCACACTCTTCCTTCAACTGTAGCCAGACGGAAACTGCTGCACCAACCGAATTGAAAGTTGCACCAGAGAGTACAATACGCACCCGTAGTCGAGACTGCAAGCGCGTTTGTTGTTTTTATTGAAAGGGGTGTCCAATGAAAGAAATCAATCTCATTTCTTAACTGGTGTACTGAAAATGACCATCCGCGTGTCGTCGTAAAAGTGAGACTTTTCCATTCATGTTGCATCATCCCTGAGGCATTATCCCTTGCTGGCTACAAACTGATTTTTTTTATCGTCGCCTTTGTTCACTTTATTGGCATCTTATTGCTCTAATAAAATGGATGTGTGCTTAGGTGCATCCATTCTAAAGCTTCATGCTTCGTCTTCTTCATTGACACTCTCAAAGCTTGAGCTTTGAGAGTGTCAACGAATTTGTAGGGGGAATCTAGCTATAGTACTATAGTGGCTTGTGTGCGTAATACAGGAATCGGCTACCTGGAAGCAGACTTCTTTGGTGCTCATTACAAGTAATCAACTTGTAATCAATTACATTTTTGAGTAATTTTGTACTCATTTGAATACATTTATTAGGAAATAATTGCAAAAGTAATCTGATTTATTATGGAAGTATTAAAGCTATTTGTACCCATTACTATTCTTCCCTCTTTTTCCTAATGGCACCCCTCTGTTTTTACAAGTTTCTTATCAAAAAACCCTCGAACCAAGTTTTTGACACGAGGATGGTTGACCAAAATTGGCAGATTAAGAAGACAAATAGCTTATGGTGTGGTTATTTTAATCCAATATTAATACAAAAATCCCGTTTTCAAACCGGCAGAAAAATGCATCGTTTTGAAAATCTGAAGTAATCCGAAAAGTGACGTTACTTTTTCAAGTAACAACCAATTACCTTCTCAAGTAGTCAAGTAATCTAAATGAACACTTTAACTGTGAGTAATTATGATTGTAATCAATTACTTTTTTTGAGTAATGTATGTAAGACTGCTTGGCAGTGCCAGATTTGGTCATTCCCACAAAATGCTCTGTGCTTAAATCGGAAAACCCTTACGGCAAGAACCACACCAGTGCTCCAAGACCCTTGTGCCTTGGGACTTGTGTGTTGGTCCTCTTCTACGGGTTCCTTGGTCCGAATTTCTAAAGTTGGGCATACCAACAGTTTAGCCCCATGTTGCAGTGCAAAACATTTACTCTAAATCGCAAACTAAGAACAAGCTTTATGTGTAAGGCTCTTCCCAATATTAGGCGCTGGAAAGAATTGGCCATCTGCGTTAAGTTTTTTTTTCAAACTCTTCTTGTCCACATTCCGCCCATTGAAAATCGTGAAGAAATGGCCTTCGTATGCACTTGATCTCGCCACTCTGCCGTCTCCTTTTGCACAGTAAATTTCATCTGCTGTGATCCGCATCACCATGGCAACAAAGCGTCGTCTTTATGAACGAACATGCGAATGCAGTGTTTCAAGCCAGGAACGGCAGATGCCATCTTCCGAATACCGTCTGCTGCAGTAAATGTGACTATGTGAGCCAGAGCAGGAAGTGATTAATCATTTGGCAAACCCTTGGCGGTTCCTACGAGGCTTGGTGCACGCTTGGGCCCGAGATAATGATCAATTTTCCCTGAACAAAGTGAGGGGTGACTGCGTGTAGCGCAGTCTGTTCGAAAGCCTAGCTTGGAGCCCAAGCTAGCGTAGTTTTATCGGTAGCAGACAGCATTTGGAAGATGGCATGGCTATAGCTGGCTTCGGACGCTATATTTGCATTGCGCCAGGCTGTATTTACCTTGCATTGGACTGCGCGGGAAGAGCCAGGAGTGTGGTGAGATCAGTTGCATAGTACTTAGTTTTTTTTTTTTTGCATTGTTTCTCGGTGGGTGGAATGTGGACAAAAAGAGTTTGAAATAAGAAGTTAATCCAGATGGCTGACTCTCCAGGACCTAATATTTTGGTGAACCTTATGCAAAAAGCATGTTTTTTGGGCTATCTGGTGACTGTTTTTTCCTTGGAACATGGGTCTGAGGTATCAAACTGCCTAAAGTTGTACAATCTTCAGCTTGTTCGTTTTACCAGTACCATTTAAAGGTTGACCCACCGCTTGAAAGGAGGACCTCTCCTCCTCAGTAATCATGGGGCAAGTAAATGAAATTCAAAGCGAGTTGCACCTTGCTATTCCCATTAATACCAAACAAGGAGATGAAAAAGGCCTTCAGCCTCGCTGAAGAAGGTTCTGCAGTTTGGTGGACCAACCTGCGTACCACGACCAGGGGAAGGGACAGTGCTCGTCCCGTACGGTCCCCCTGCGCCATTTGTGTTCTTGATGCCGTCGCTCTCCGCCAAACGTTTTCTCTGTGTCGCGTGAGTGCTTGCATGACGTGTGTCAGATGCTCACTGGCTGTCAGTGCGTGTGTGGCCCCAACGCCCACTTTGCGCTGCAGGTGATGAGCCAGCAGACGCCGCTGCAGCCCAAGTCGCCCTTGCTCGGGGCCGGGGGAGCCACCCTGTCCCAGATGGGGGCCCAGCAGCAGGTAGCCACAGCCCAGGTGCTCAGCCCGAGCCAGTTCAAGCAGCTCTCACAGAACAACCCCCAGCTCATCTCTAGCCAGCCACCTACCGTCATCAGCCAGGCACAGCTCCTGGGTGAGCGCGCCCCTTTTGGTCCGCTCGGTCGTCCGCTCGGCACCTTCGCGTGTCTTCTGCCAGAAGTTTTTCTTCCCTTAGAGCTCACAAAGCCTCGTGCTCTTGCCTAAAGCTCGGTTCACATATCTGCGTCCGTTGCATCCAAGGGGACCAAAATGACCGCAACGACCGGGACACTAGGACAACCGCGACTCACGATCAGAGGTCAACATTATAAATTGCCCTCACTCACCCTCACAGCCACACTTACCTGAGCCTCTCACTCACCCTCACCCTCACAGCTACACTCACCCTCAACCCCTCACTAACCCTCACAGTCACACTCACCTTCAGCCCTTTCACTCACCCTCAACGAACCTCACGGCCCTCACACACTCATGACCCTCAAGCCCCTCACGAACCTCATGCACCCTTCACACACTCTCGGTCTTCACAGCCCTCACAACCCTCACGACCTCACGGTCCTCGTACACCCTTACACTCGTGATTTTTCGGGGTTCAGAAATTGAGTCACCCTCACCTCACTTGTGAAGATGAGGGTGAGTGAAGGTGAGTGAGGGCCCTCATGAGTGAGGTTTGCCGAGGTATGCTCACAATCTCTTCACGAAGCTGTGCCTTCTATTCCCTGCCATGTCGCGTATGAGAAACGCTCAAACCGGTAACTTTGTCGTTGCCGTTGCTCCGGTTGCTCTGACCAACGCAACCGTCCGAACTGGGCATTAGTCTCTCGTGCATCCCCCTTCGCTGCTCTCATGGCATAGGAGAGAAGGATGCTGGAGGCTCGTTTATGCGGTAACATTTCACTATGCTTCAAGGACTTGTGTAGAGTTACGAGCATGAGTCGCTGGGGCATTAGTATTCCACGTGTCACACGGTGCACATGACAAATGATGCACATACGTCCTGGTGACTCGGTCGTAGCTCGTCACTACTTAAAGTTGGACGTAGTGAAACGCAACTGCGCAAATGGGCCTCAGGGGGATTACCTGGTTTTACAGGTTCAACTTGTTGCTAGTGCGTCTAATTATTTCGTCAATCGACGTGGGAGTTTTTGCTAAAATCTTGGCTATTCCTCCTTCCCCATTGTTCTGGCCTCCTTATGGCCAGACCCGTGGCTGCCGTTGATTCCGACCTCATCTTCCGAAAGGCTCGAGAACAGACGTGCAGAGCGTGCACGTCGTATGCCGGGACGCAGACGCAGGTTTCGGGCCCGCGCTGACTTTCCCGACGCCCCTCGCCCATTACAGGGTCCCTCCAGGCCCTGAATGCCACTTTCCCGCACGGCATCACGTGGGCCAACCCGGGCCAGCTGCAGTCTCCCACGCTGCTCACCCAGAACCCGATCTACATCCGCAGTCAGCAGTCGGACGTCTTCCTGCAGCCGGGGCCCCAGCAGGGCGCCACGCTGCATGCGCTGCCCGTGGCCGCCCCCGTCGCCCAGGCCCCCACCGTCATGCAACAGCAGCCCCAGCAGCAGCAGCAGCAGCTGCAGCAGGCACCCAAGCCCAAGCAGGTGAGGCAGAACCCCGCACTATTGCGTTTACCGCCGTTTCGTTTGTGGTCCCTCGCTCTCGTCCGACGATGTCACGCTCGTGTCCAGCTGTTGCCTGCCACGCTGCAGAGGGCTGTCATTGCTCCGGCGGCCAGAGGTTGGGACACTACGGCAGAAGTGACGTCTCTGTCGTCGGAACTTCTGCGTGTGACCATTAGGACTGCTAGGTCCGACGGCATGCCGGCTGCTGAGACATGTGTCGTTGCCACTTCGGTACCATTTTTCATGCATGTGTGGTGAGGACGCTAATTGCAGGCGGCGGAGAAAAGCTCACCGGAAAAAAGCTCCCCGCAAAACCGACAGATGTGGAGAAAAGCTCGCCGATTTTTTTAACTTGGCGGATTCTGCGCCAAACCTGGCAATTTAACACAATTCTCATTCGTCACTTCATTAAAAATATTTCCTTTTTTTTGTAATATTCTTGAAGTTCATTGTACATATTTACCGATTCCTCAGAAATTAGTAATCAGCCGTCCTGTATATTAATGAGGCCGCAAGTATAAAATCAGAACATCATACACCGGTAAAAAAGACAACAATTTATCGGCAGCTGACAGTGCGCCGTCGGTAGCTCTGTCAGATAAAGAAGTTTGTCCTTTGCGAGCTAATATGAATGGTGGTGTGTGAACCGTTTCAGCTCCAAATATTGTGTAGAGCCTAATAGATAAGTAGGCGTTTCTTGATGTAATCAGTGTCGGCTATGCTGTTTCCTTTCTGTTATTGTCACTAATAATAGTTTAGTTGCGAAAATAGCTTCGTACTGTCGCGTTTGTTGTCTTCACTCTGTCGTCGTCGTTTGAGCAGTTGTCATCATGTGTAACGTTTACCAACTCGCCCTATTCGCTACCTTACAGAAGACTAGTTCTTATATAGGTCACGAGTAACAACGGTGCCAGTGTGCAGCTCTGAAGGCCATGGGTGGCTCACCGTAGAATGGCATTATCACAAAAAGGCAACTTGTGGAAACACCAGTACGAACGGCTGGAAAACGTGCATGTCCGTGGAAGAAAGAAGCCTTGATATCTTACTGTTTTACTTTGTTTTCAATTGTTGACAAAAGCTTAAAGATAATTTCAGGCACCGTGTTGTTGCGGATGCAGTTTTGGATTTTCGGCATTTACAGTTTTGATTTTTAGGTTTTAGGCAGACATTATTAAGTTGTCGAACATTTTCCTGTCCTTCAAGTTCATAAAGTTTTCAGTTAGGCTTTCGTTGCCTAAAAAGTAAGCCACAGAAAACACTCGCCCGCAATTATTAATTTGGGAGCAATATACCCAATAAGCTTAACAAATATTACGAAAAAGGACATTCTCTTTTTTAAAAAGCTGACGAATTTTAATGATAATAAATTGATATATGTTATGCATGATCCAACAGCCTCCATATAAAAAGAAGAAAACAAAATCGGTGAGCTTTTCTCCGCATACGCTCAATGGCTGGTAAGCTTTTCTCCGCATCCGCCAGTTTTGCGGTGAGCATTTCTCTGGTGAGCTTATCTCCAGTGAGCTTTTTTCCGGTGAGCTTATCTCCGGTGAGCTTTTTTCCGGTGAGCTTTTCTCCGGTGAGCTTTTCTCCAGTGAGCTTTTCTCCGGTGAGCTTTCCTCCGGTGAGCTTTTCTCCCGTGAGCTTTCCTCCTGTGAGCTTTCCTCCGGGATTCGCTAAACGCGGCAGGCAAAGACGCGTTGGGAGGCGCTGCACCCACACTTCACGTGGTCTGCGCGAGGACTTGGGGGACAAAAAAAAAGTTGTGGCACTTCCTTCCATCTAATACTACTACCCTAGTTACGTGACGCAGCCTCAACGGTTTGTTACTGAGCCCACGACGGCTCAGAAAACCGGTGCCCTACGAGTGCAGCCGTTAATAATGACAATTCGTCTTCCTGGCTGCCGATGAAGGGACCCTCCACGGGAGTGGAGTCCCACATCTAAGTTGATCTAAGGATGTTGATTTGGGCTTAACAAAGGGGCCTGCACTGGAATGGGGTAAACTTGCATTAGTTGGACCTCGACGGGACATCAAAATTCGGTCGAATTATTCGAAAATTGAATTAAAGAAAAGGGGAAACCAACTCGAGGCTAACAAACTTTTATATGCCAAAGGGAGTCCGTGATCGCTCGGTCTTGTTTGCACCTAAAACGCGCACATAGCTGAATGTTTGGGCATGACATGTGCGAGCATTATCCCGAACTCACCTCCAACGAACAAACCCCACAACTTTGGTTTCAAGTAGAGGATTCAGCAATTTACTTTTCACGTTGCTGCATGTTGCAGTGTTTTTGGCTTTGCCAATACCTTTCTCGGATAGATCGGACTTTAGTTGCTTCGCAAGTTGGGCATAAATTTCCACAAGCATTATCCCTTTGTTTTCTTTCTTGAAGGCAGTGGTGAACTGCCATCAATTTGCACTCATCTTACTTAGCTCAAGAAACAGCTTGCCGTCAATAAAAAGACCAATAAAGAGGCAAAAAAACAACAAGCAACACAAAGGTTGCAGTGATCTGTTGCTGCCAGACTGTCATAGATTCTTTAAAAGCCACTGTCCGGTATATAAGATAAGGACAGAGTTTTTCCAATGTATTTTTGAAAAGGTACTTGCACATGCTCAGCTTTGTATTAAAATACCATTGTTTTGTCGTTTGCGAGGTTCTTGAGACAGATTTGCCACTACCATGTTGATGTGCGACATGCGTTCGCACGCATTCGCTCCTATTTGAGTTATGTAGTGGGGTGTTTTTCTGCATTTGAATTAACAAATGGATTGTTGTTGACTCAGTGGAAGTTTACCATACTTGATTACAGCATTGAAATATTAAGTCTTGGTGCAGGTTGCATCATTTAGTCTAAACAAGCTGTGCCTCATCATTCGTTTTCCTCATTTTGTAAACGACAATTACTGGTTCTTCCTGCATTCTGTGGCAAAGTTAGAGATGCTGACTTTTTCATTAAATGTATGATCTATGACAATGAAAATAATTGTGCAGTCCACGTCTGAATTACGCTTTTCTGAAGTCCCCGTAGAGTCAAGTTTTGGGCCCATGGCAGAAGGTTTGTTTGCAGGTTATCAGATATTGTTTCGAAAAAGTTGAACTTGGAAGTTGCTGGTGGATATCACTCTCACGTTGTGTGTTGGAGGGACTGAAGCTGCAGGCCCGTTACGCTTCTCATAGAGCTCCTCCGTTTTCTCTGACAAAGAAAAGGAATCCTACTTTCGTGCTTGTTGTCATTACTGGAAAGGATTTCTTTGTAACCCCAATCACTACCAGGTGGTTAAATGCTCCCTTCTCATCCTTGCATGTTCCTGTACAGAATTTTTTAAACCTTGTACAGTAGATAAGCATTGTTATAAAACGCAGAGTGTGTGGCGTAAAGTACAGAAACCAAACTGGCTTAGGAGCGTGCAGCGCAACCTTCCAGTTTCTTGACCGACGCAATGTCACTTTGCACCCAGGTCCGACCGGCCAGCTCGGTTGCCACCCAGACGGCCACCTCGGCTTCCGTGACTGTCAACGCACACGTGCTTCCGTCGAGAGCTCAGGTGAGGGCGCAAAAGCTCCTCTCGAAGGGAAGGCCCCTTGTCAGAGTGAAAGCCTTTTGAATTCGGAGTTAAAACCCTTTAACTCTTTCCTGACCACGTCCATAGGCCAACGATCACCGGTGATCAATGGTTTCCAAGCGCCGTCAAGAAGTTAAGTTTAGTGCGGAGATTTATGTTCCGCAATCTCGTGGATAGTCAAAGAACTGTTGTTTAGGTTTCAACGTAGGTTTTAGCTTGATCACAAGCTGGTGTGCTGACAAAAATAGCCCTGGGAATGGGGGTTGCACTTGTCTAACATGACTAACTGCTTGCATAAATTTTTGTAACAAAGGTGGCATTATTTACATGATTCAACTGTATTGTGCCATATTTTTTTAGACCTAAAGAGCTCTGGAGACATATAAAATTATTTTATAGGCGTCGCTTAACAGATGGTTGTCGATAAGCACCACTAATTTCCAAGGTTGTCCTGAGCCGGCGTGCACATTTTATGTTCCCAACAAGGTGGACAAAAACGCTAATTATGAAGGAATTGCAATCAAGGCTATGACAAAACTGAGGTAGAACACAAAGAAAGCATTCTATGGCATGGGGGGGGTTAAGGGGGGGAGGTTTGCTATATCTGTGTTTCTCCGATATATGCATTCCTTCTTTGAAAAGCACACATGTTAATGGAGGCTAACTCTCCGACGAATCATAAATAGACAAGCTCAGTTAGAGTACACAAGCTTTGAGAAGTAATAACCATGGGTGGTGGAACACATTTGTATATTCGGCATTTTTTTATTTGTCGTTTAATTTGACTTAGTTGCAGAAGTTTCGTCATTTATACGCCAATAAATCACACTTGAACTACCGAACTTACTCGCATAATGAACGCACTTCCAAAGCGGGTACCAATATTTTTATTTTTCTTCCCCTCACGTAAAGAACGCACTTCGAATTTTCGGCTCCGCAAGTCTTGAATTGCATTCAATTTAGCTAGCCACCAAGCAAATTTTGTTTTGCCGCCAAGCGGTCGGGCCAAGTCAAGCCAACTCAAGCCAAGCCACTCGTAATGGCTGCAAGTGGCCGCAAGTGCGTAGATGCGCAAGTGATGAAACATGAAACCGAGCGGCGCGCAATCTTGACGAAGCTTGGGTAGAGGAATTGCCCAGCCCCGGACATTTTTCGCCTATCGGATGCATTAATGTCAACAAACACGCCGTCGTCTGTGGTCCGCTTTCGAATGGTGAATGAAAGTGCCTAGGCCTAAGAACGGTCGCATTGCTTTCCGAGCTCAGAGAGCTTCGTTGTGTGCTTTTCCTTCGGCAAAAGGCACGCCGAAAGCGCCCTAAAAAGGTTCACAATTTATAAAGCATGGTTACTGTGGCACGTCTCCGACCAGCCGTGGGTGCGCCTCCATCAGTGGAGATGTGCCACAGTACCTTGCCGTGTCATATAGGTGACATTCACTTGACGTCACTCGCTAGATTCGCTGGCATCACCCACCACGGTCGCCATCTTCGAGGTCTCTTGCTATCGCGAATGCCATCTGGCCGGACCTTTTGAGCGTGGTTTAGCAGTAATTTACAACTTTATAGAGTCTTTTTGACCGAAACTAGGGGTTATTCTTATACTTTGGTGCTTTTGAAGCGTCGTAGGAGTATTTTTTGTGTGTTTTAGTTTGTTTTTGTCGCTATCGGACTCGTTTACCGCGGCCGCGTTGCTCCCTTGGCTGCATGAAGCACTCAGTGTCACTCGCCATGCCGACAGCGGTAGCTCTTGCAACAACTAATTTTTCTAGTTTGGTGCTTTTGTAGCACGGTGTGATTACTCTTTGTTTTGTTTTGCTAGTTTCTTTATTGTTTTTCTCTAGCGGATTTTCTGTACTACGGCCGTGTAACCGTGTTGCTCCATCGCCGCTGTGTCGTACATACGTCGTGCCTTCGGTGTTCGTTCCTGTGCAGAAACATACCGTGCGGCTCACAGAGTGTGCAGCTTATGAAAAATGCGGCGCATTTTTCATTAGCCCAAGCGATTCAAAAACCAAATGTAAGCGATTTGGTGAGCGGGAAGACAAGCGACGGCGACCCGCTTCGCTGCCGCTCGGTCACTCGCGCGACGAGGCAAACTGCATGAAAGCGACGGGAGCACACGACCAAGGCGATGAGCGCTAAGTTTTCTAGAAATCCCAAAACCGAGCTACGCGACGAGTGACAGTGAAGGGTGAACCGCATGTAAGCGATTTAGCGAGCGATGGCGACAGCGACGGTAGTCGGCGACGAGCGACGGAGATTTCTCGCGGTCGGTCGTCGCGTCGCTCGGTTTTTGGATTTCTAGAAAGAGTCGCTTATCGCCTTGATCGCCTGCTCCCGTCGCTTTCATGCGGTTTGCCACGTCGCGCGAGTGATCGAGCGACAGCGAAACGGGTCGTCGTCGCTCGTCTCGTCCCGTTGCTCGCCAAATTGCTTACATGCGGTTCATCCTTTACACACGGTACTCGACGGCAACAAGGAAAACGGTTCGCCCCCGAGACCAACTTTTCTTCTCTCTTCTGTGCAACGAAGCTTCAACGATATGAAATTAGCACACACTAGCAGCGGACGACCGCGTAGCGTACCCAAGCCAGTCAAACCGAGACCTCGAAGATGGCGGATCGACGGTGGCGCTCCCTGGCAAAATCGAACCTGCAGGCTCAGTGAATACCACCTATTGGCACCTAATATGAAATTCGCACGAAGTGTGTAAATGCAAAAATTTTACCCCACGTAATGAACTGCGTCAATTTTTTAGGAAAAAAAGTATGTTTATTATGCGAGTAAATACGGTACTCTAGATCTATCCGAGCCAAAAGCAGTCCGACTGGTAGCAGTAACACATTCCTCTTCTCTTCTTGGGGAGGTGGCCGTGTGACCGGGAGGGAGGAGGGGGGGGGGGGGGGGGGGGGGGCGGTTGTTAGGCGTACTACGGAGCCGCGAGGTGCACCACGCGAGCCGCAGCTTCGCCACCCCTAGCTGGATTACATGAATGCATGCCGGCATCGCTGATAGGGAATCACACTTAATTGCCTCACTCTTATTTATGTGTTGCTCCAAAGTTGCTCCAAAATATGAATTTTTATAATGCAAAGGTGCTTTGAAATGAGATTTTTTTTTCCTGCTACAGAAATTCTTCCGAACTCAGAACCGGCTGAACCACTCCTCCTTGAGCTTCTAGCAGTGTATTGTTGGAATCAAATGCAGACCTCTCTGAATTCACTAAAGCGAATTTCATAAGCGTTAGGGTATATGCCGAGTCTTTAGGAGTCGCTGCACAGATGAAGTGAAACTTGTGTCCGAGAAATCACCCTAGTAATAGTAAGAAATGGCCTAATTGGAATACAATATTTCAAAACAACTTTTAGTCAAGGAGAGCTATTCTGAATGTGACTGCGAATTTGGAGTCTCTTTTTAAACTGTCTGCAAGCTGGGTTTGAGGGATACGTGAAAGCAGAACAAAACAATCCTTGTCTCCCTAGAGTTCTTTTGTGAAAAAAGTTACCGAGTGGTATCATGTGTATTTGCTCCGTTTCTTTTACTTTGTTTCAAATTTCACGATATATTTTGACGTTACTGTTGAGACATTTGGAATGTGGTACCATTTTATTATTTATTATTTTATGATTGTTCTTTTTAAGGGTGTTACATACTTGGAAGTACCGTCTAATCTCGTTTATTCGAACTCGAGGGGGACCGAAAATTTGTTCGAATTAAACGAAGTTCAAATTAACGAAAGTTCATTAAATGGAGTACTTACGTGCAGCGCTGCGTTGGGCGGCGCATGTGCACTGAGCTAAAACATGAGTGACAAGTTCCAGGACATTTATTTTCACCGATCACGAAGGAAAGTAATCCGTAACGCGTGCCTGTGTGTGGTTCCTCAGTCGTGAATCAACAAAGATCGCTTGGAGCTTCGAGACTAGCTCTAACGCGGCATCCGCATTCTCCTGGCAAGAGGTAGCGCTTAGTAGTGTCCAGCGCCGACTCTATGTTCGTTGCCCTAGGGGGGGGGGGCATTTCTTCGCTGGCATCAGAATTTTCCCCACTGAGGGCTGAAGGGTCCTTATAAGTGGCCTGTTCAGGGCAAGTAGCCTGAATGATCTCGGCGTCTGAGCTTTCTCAGGTTTCTTAATTTGTGCCTATTACATGTGATTGTTGTGCTTCTTTCCACCCTTTTTGTGTGCTAATGGGAACAGTGCAAAAATGAGTTCTAACAAGGACAGTAAGGACATCCTAGTTAGTCCCTTTCAAGGTAAGCATAGCAGGGAGGAGCCTGAGTTGTCCCACCTCCAGCGAAAACCTCTTGCCAAAGCCCTGACGTCTCGTGCAGATTGAGTGCTCGCGCACAGTCGAAGCAAGGCAGAAGGCAGGGAGCGCGTGCTGGAGGCATTCAAAAGACGCGCCCTGCCGCTCTTATTTTGTCAGTGACACCGGTCTCCAGAAATTGATGATTTACACGTGATTTAACTGCCTGGAAGAGTAGCCAGGTAACTCACTCGGCTAGTCCGCATGGAGACTAATTGAAGAGTAGCAAAAGATTGCTATAGACGTAATTTATGCAACCAGCGATCCGATTAGTGCGTGATGTGCAAGCCTGCCCGTCCTGTCCTTGCTGTGCAGGCCAAGCCAAGGATCCGCGCACAGACAAACCGGACTTCGGCCTGTCCTGGGCAGCAGCAAGTGATAATCCACACGCAGACGGCCAACACGCAGACGCAGACGTTTGCTGTTCCCCAGCAGCAGGCGCAGCATCACCACACTCACCACCAGCAGAATCTTCAGCAGCAACAGCACACTCATCAGCACCCACAATTTCAGCATCAGATACAGCAGCAAATTCACCAGCAGATTCAACAGCAACAACAGCAGCAACACCAACAGCAGCAGCAACACCAACAGCAGCAACAGCAGCAGCAGCAACAGCAGCAACAGCAGCAACAGCAGCAACAGCAGCAACTACAACAACAGCAACAACAGCAACCGCAGCAGCAACTACAACAGCAGCAACCGCAGCAACAAAAAGGCAAGTGGTGTGCCGTTTCCTAAAGAATGCTTGTTTTTGCCTACATCAATTGGAAAGGGAGGTGGGGGGGGGGGGGGGGGGGGCGGGGGTGGGGGGGGGGGGGGGCAGAAAGCAAATTAAATGCAAGGATGCCACTATTAGATGTATGCTTTTTTTTCTTGTTTGTTTGAGGTTGTTTTACAATAGACTTAATTCAAACTCCAGGGAGCTAGAAATTTTGTTTGAATTATCAGAAGTTTGAATTATCAAAAATTCATCTAAATGTGATGCAAGATAAAATTACAATTCGCCATATGAATGGCTACACATACAACACATATATTTGATGATTTTCTTTACATAAGCCTGCCAGTCATAAGCAGGTATGCCACGCTTGAAACATTTGTGAAGTGTATGACAAGTTTATTTATCTCGAAAATGTTGTTTATCATGGACTGTTTAGACAGCACATGACAACTCGAAACAAAATTAGGTTTGTTCATCAGGCTAAGAAGTGGTCTAATGTAAACTATTAAGCACAGGACACATGAGTGATGAAAACGTGCACCGCGCGGGAGTTTTCATAGCAACTTGCGCGGACGCTGTGGCATAGACCTATGCCATGCCGCCACGTCGCAGCGTCTGTGCAAGTTGCTATAGAAATTTCCGCGTGGTGCCCGTTTTCATAGCTCGTATATGCCCTGCCTGCGCACCGTTAAGTGTGCTTCTCACCAAGCACCGGTGCTCTGCGAAGAAGCAACACCTGCTGGTGTTGCCTCTCTGCAGTGCATCAGTGCTCGGAAAGAAGTGCACTCAATGGGGCCGCGAGAACAAGGAGTATGAAATACAAATGCTGTTCAAACTAAGCGGCTTATGAATACATTAAAAACATAGTGGGACAACCAAAATTTTTGGAAGTTGTTTGAATTATCCAGAAGTACGAAATATCCGAGTGTGAATTATCGTGAGCCTACTGTCAATGCCTATCATCTATAGGGACAGATCTTGGAGCTTTTGCATCCTCACTGGGATGTAGCCTCGATGATGTCAGTGTCGTGTGCCACTGTCATGTCGTCTCAAAGGTGCCTTAAATGCGCAGCTTTTATCACCCCTCAACAACGTCACTCGACACTGTGGCATCATGTGTCACCGATGCCAGGTAGCACATTGCTTTATCGATGCCAGGTAGCATATTGCTTCGTCATTGCAAGTAACGCATCCTCAAATTTTTGTTCTATGCAGCCGACGCAGCGAACCAGACAACAGTTGCTCAGCATCAACAACACCAGCAGCATCACCAGCAACAACATCCACAGCCACAGCACGCGCAGCAACAACACCAGCAACAACATCCACAGCCACAGCATGCGCAACAACAACAACATCAGCAGCCGCAACAGCAGCAGCCCCACCATCAGCTTCAGCAGTCACAGCCGCAGGCACAGCCACAACCGCAGCAGCAACCGCACCACCACCACCATCACCACCACCATCACAATCCCCCGATCCAGCCGCGGCTGGTACCCGAGATGAAGAGTGCGGGCACCCAGAGCGGCACCAAGGCGGTCACCGGAGTTCCGCCAGAGCCCAAGCAACAGGCTGGGGTGGCCCAGGGACACCACGCCGTCGTCGGTCACGTGGGCAGCCACCCGACGGCCGGCAACGCCGGTCACGCGGGCGCCGCGCACGCGCACCAGACCGTGGGCAGTCACGGACCGGGAGTTGGCCATGCCGGCGCCATGACAGGTGGCCACGTGGCCATTGCCCCGCACCACAAGGCCCCTGTGGGAGTGCCGTCGCCCCCGGTGGCGACAGCGCCACCACCCCTCCCGGCGATGGGCAAGGGCCCTGCAGAGGACAAGGTTGAGGTGAGTGCTTGTGGAGCCTGTGGTGTGTCGGTTTCATAAACACGTTTTCGCAAGACTGACCTGGTCGGATGCGGGACGTGCTTGCGAGACCGACCACATGTTGCTGCGTGAATGAGCGTGTGCCTGTTTAGGAGTGTGGCGTGGATAGAGGAAGCGACGCGTTTGACGAGCGAGCTCATGCCGAAAGTGGGAGTTTGCTTTTCTCGTGAAAATCGGTCGCCTCGGGCCATGTTTGTGGGCAGACGTGCATTTAATTTCAAACGTTTTTTGCATCTTGCGCATTTCCACGAATGTTACGCAGCCACTGATACAATGCAGGGGCAAGTTTTGAAACCATGTTAGAGATAAAGTTATTACTATTGTAACGCAAACGTAAAGTTACCGCACTCACAAGTGAAAAGGGGACAAAAATTAAGAAAACATTTCTTACGTTTTGACTGCATGCATCACCACCGCTGAGCTTCTTCTTACTGTCGTGTTCACGACTTCTTCACAAAGATATAATTGTCTCATACATTGTTTATCTTTGGCGTGAGCTCCTTGTCCTCAAGCCATTCCTCTTGAATCATAGTGCACTGTGTCAAGTCTGTTGGTATACCAAGCTCGCAGATGCCAGAACACTCTTGAGCAGAAACTAAAAAGTGCGCGTACGGGCAGCACAGAGACTCCTGGACATGATACACGATAGTTTTCACCCTTGCTGCGTTCCCTCTGCATGAACAAACACCTCGTGTTTTATAATTGCAGAAACACAACCTGCGGTCTTGGGTTGGCTTATGTCTTGACTTGGACGGTGTCCCATACTGCCGCATGACGTGTCGTGATTTTGCGGCTGCGTGTGTTGTACCAACATGAAAACGACAAAGAACGCTTTCAATGTTCTCTATTCCTCCCTTTATGTGGCACAAGAACTTCTAGGTTTTCTTTCCACCCCCTGTTTATTTTCAAACTTAATCTGCCGCACTTGATTGCGGCATGGGTTTTGGAGCGCGCAATTTTGTGAAAAAATCTCGCATTATATTTGTGAAAATATGGTACTTCCACGCAGAATGAGATAGCTTGCACTGAAGAGTAAGGCACCAATGTAACAGGCACCGCGCTTGCGGTCTAGCGGCCTAGACGGCAGTGTGTGCTTGGCGGTCGAGCGGTTTACTACACTAGCGTTAGGTCATTTGGCTGGATGTCCTCCCGCTAGGGGATAGCCAGCTTTTGCTTGAAGCTTTAAGTGAAGCTTTAAGGGTAGACACTGCACTTTGAGGCAAAAATATGCTAAGAAAACACACTTTTGAAATTGTGTTTCTTGAAGATTGGCAGGCATTTATCATGTTGTCCTGAAGGATTTTCTTTAAAAAAATTTCTCTCATCTTGAAATATTCTCTTGGAAACAAAAGTAAAATGAGTCTGAGGATGTTTTTTTTATATTATTTCTGAGTGAACTATTTACACCTTATACTATTTTTTGGAAGCCATATCTTCACTTGCAGATGTCTAATCTTTATATTTTTTTCTTTCTCTGGTAGGTGTATGTGTGACATGTGCAATAAGGGGTACAAATATATTAAATAGGGTATCAGGCTCTTTTAGGGTGCCTTTTAGGCATACTGCAACAAATCATTTTGAAACTGAGAAGTTCAAAAATGCCCTAAAAAGCTTATAAAGCATCCTAGAGCTTTCATTTATGCCTTATTGTATTCCACATACCTTTTAGTTCACTGATATATATGTTTATTTTTTTATTTTAGTAATTCAATTTGTCTTAATCCTTCCTATAATTTTTGCAAATTAAATTTTCAATATTAACAAAACTAATTAGGTCACATCAAAACAAAGTACATCCTTGTAGTCAGATTGTAATGGGAAATAAGGTATGTAAATTTCATTTGAATTGAATCACAAGTTATATAAAAAGCTCTAGAAGCAGTGTTGCCCCTTAAGCTTTAAGCTCTTGAAATCATTGTGACTTGGCAGCAAGCCGCTGCGAGTGGCTTGCATGTCATAAGGGTGCCAGTTTGTTGCTGCAGAGGGCCACTTTAATATTGTTTAAGGTGAATTTCTACGACCTTTTTATTCTTCACTCGGTTCTTTGGCCCGCATACTATGAATGCGATCTTGGGACAGATGAAACTCGCCGAGAGTTTTTACTGCGGCGAAGGATACGAGGGCTCATGGTGAAACCACCCGAAACACCAGATCCGCTGCGTGTGACAAACATTAGCTCGTCCGCATTGCTTGCCTTCACTTGTTCAACTAGCGGCAGCTGGCGGTGGTTGTGGTTCGAGCAACTTTACGAGCTCGGCAGTAAAATGCCACAAAAACACGGCAAATATTTGTATAATGGCTAATGGCAATGAAAAATTGCACCGTTTATATTTCTCAAGAAGCTTTCTTGGAGGTGTGTCTCGCTCAGAATCAAATAGTGCAGTATAATTTCCAGCATTAGATCTGTAAAGAGGGCTGACATGTGGCGGCTCTTCCTCGTGCCGTAAAAGCTGCGGACGAGGGAGCTTCATTAAATTCAAACCACTATTTATTTGTGCAACCTTTAATTTTTGGCAATGAGCTAGGTCGGGGGTGACCAGGCTGAACCCTGTTCAAGAGCCGCAAAGAAAACCACAAAACTTCCAAGAGCCGCGGGGGGTGTTGCAAACTTTTAACTATACGTAAGGTAGCAGTACCATAAGACAACCAAACCGCAACCTGTCTTTCGATCTAAATCACATTCCATTTCTCTTTTTGGGGAAGTGCTCGGGTGACCGGGAGGGCGGCGGGGGACTGGGTTGGGAGTGGCGGTAGGAGAGGGAGCCGCGAGCCGCACTTCAACACGCAAAGAGCCACATGCGGCTTGTGAGCCGCAGCTTGGCCACCCCTGAGCTAGGTAGTCAGATGCTCGACTCGGGTCTTTAGCCACCATTTGCAGGACTGGGATGGACCCAGGCCTGCGTATGGTTCACATCGAGTTCTAGTTTTCGTAGTGGCGCTTCTTTACTCTGCCACACCCATTGTTCCTGTCACACTTGTGCCAGACAGTTTAGCCCCATAACCGTTTTTGAAAATTTCTGACCCTGAACGGCTTATTAATCGTTGTCTGCAAAATCAAATATCTAACCACAAATGGAATTCAAGCAAAATTTTAAACAAGGCAGTGCTGGGTGATTATAGTTTGGTCGTACAGTGATTTTTTATATTTACCATGTAAAAAATATATCTGTGGAAGCCATGTTCTTGGGAGGAGCATTTCGCTATAATTGAACGTAGATAATTTTCCTCCGGAGATACAAAATTTTAAAGATTGGGGTGTCAAGATTGCCAAGGCTTCACTACAGTACGTTGCACAGCCGCAAATTTCAAATTGAAGCACGCACCTGCTAATAATTTTTGCTACCTATTTCATGAAAGGTTTACATGTGCACAAAATAATAAAAAGAACAAACAATACAAAAATTTCTATGCAATAAAAGCTACGAAAATGTCAAGCAAACACGTTTTAGAGAAAGATTAACAAATTATTTACCGACAAACTACTTTATATAAAATGGCGCAAAATATTTCACAAAGAATTTTAAGTGCATTTTACAAATATATAAAACAGACTAGCCTAGCCAATATTGTAGTTGTGTTAATGCAGAAATGCGAATGGTTTTTCCATATGTGGCAAAATTGCACATCAATATTTAAAGAATTCCACCTTTTATGTACTTTAAACTTTCCTTTGTCGTCTGAAGTGTCTTGAACTAACTCGTGATAGAAAAACATAGAGTAACATGTGACCTCCGAAAGAGAACAAATCGCACAGGCTGGATTATGCTCACAAAGACTGGTAGGCACAGAATGTGCGATAGGCCTTTGGGGGAAGTGGAGAGGGCGCCTCAACGGCACCGCCTGCCGAAGATTCGCTTTCATTTCAGACACACTCCGCGAAGACTGCGAGCTCAATCATGCACCGCGCGAATGAGCTTGCTTTTCCGTGGTTCATACCACTGACCTTGGATAGCTCAGTTGGCAAAGCACTTGGCTCACAACCACGAGGCGGAGAGTTTAAATCTTGCCCGGAGACTGTTCTTTTTACGTGGTTCCCTATGGGCACAATGCTTTTCTGTGTCGGTTTTTCGTTACAACCGGCTACCACAACTGCCCGGCTGTCACAGCCGGCTGTTGCAGCCATACGTTACAGGACTCCATGAAAATGGGCTCTGTTTTAAAACGACAACAAACCTTCACTTAAATTGAGCTACACGGAACACCAGTGGCACAGTTGGGCACCCCGTGACGCTGCCCCTCCCCCCGCAGGTCTCTGCGCCCCCGGAAGCCTCGATGCCTTACGACAAGCAGGGCGGGGAGACCAAGGCAGAGGCCATGGCCAACGGGGGAGCGGTCACGCCGCAGATGACCATGCTCACGGCCTCGGAGCCCGTGCGCCCGCCGCCCCAGAAGGCGGTGGTCAAGCCCAACGTGCTCACCCACGTCATCGAGGGCTACATCATCCAGGAGGGGCCAGAGCCCTTTCCGGTGAGCGACACAGGGCCGGGAAGGAAGGGCCCGTAGTAGGGGTCCTCAGACTTGTGGAGACAGTAAAAGGACTATCGGTGTCGGGATTGTCGACGGCCCCTTAAGGGGATTCCTTTTTGAGTCTTTTCTTTTGGCTTCCTTTAAATTCTCACTTCGTTCGGTCTAAGGAATGCCGTATTAGATGCACCGTCGCTTCGGTCAATGCGACGTCCATTCTTGGAGCACCGCATTCTACTTCTGGCTGGGAAGAAGCACCGGGCTGCTCCTTGTACCCTTTCTTAAAGTCAGTCTAAAGGGGTGTCGAAATGGGATGCATTGGAACGCGCGAGGCGCCACTTCTACACCATATGAAGTTGAAGTCTGGCAGACTGTCTTCTGTTTGGACACCCATATGCAAACGTCACGGCTTTCCTCCTTATTACCTCTGCTTTTTTTTTTTTATATCTGTGCTCGTCAGACTTGACGTCGCACGCCACCTGCCAATGGTGTGCCGATTGCCTGTCCATCTGTTCCGCCGCACCCTTCCCTTTCTCGTTTTCGGGACCCAAAGAGCAGCGTAAGCCTGGAGCGATTGGCTGACAGCAACAGAGCATCTGATGTCCGGACCCAGGCAATGAGTATGCTCTAGGCCTCCGTGAAGGACGAAAGCGGACTCTGGCGGAGGGAAGCTTTTTCCCCAGAAAAAACTGCGGACAAAATGGATCGCCGCACTTCATATGCCGGAGAAGTGTCACTTCACATTCTTTTAAGTGTCCCATTTGGACAGCCCTTAAAGGACCAATGACAACCCCAAGATCAATATTTTGTTTTACAATCTCAAACGCTTGAATTACGTGTGGCAAAACACACACAAAAAGAATCGTAGCAAGATCAACTTCTGGCGCGCGAAATAGCTCGTCAAAGCTTACGTCCTCCTTCTCCAATTTGAGCTCCTCCTTGCTTCTTTTTTTGATAACGGAATTGAAGAAGGCATTTCTGAAAATGCTAAGAGGTGTCCCAAGTTGCTCATCGTTAATAATTATTATTGTCATTCATAAAAATCTCTTTTACTACAACCGTAAAGGCACTACACTGTTGAAGAATAAAAATCCGAGACCAGAAGTGCTAATGACGAGACGTCAGCCATTTCCTAGCCTTTTCTTCATGCTCTCAGTATGGTGAGATGTCGAAAAGTTTGTCGAAGCGGCGGCATGTTTCAGTTGAGGCTGGAATTCAACTTTCAACGATTTGGATATATATAGAGGTTAACAAAGTGTCGCGAACATATCAGGGGGTACGAGACTGCTCCCTGCAGCTGTTCTTTGGGGATTTTAGCCAACCGTGCATCATTTCGCGCTTCATCTTTTGGAAAACTTATGTAGCATGGCATTTTTAGGTTTGGTAGTACGCGGGCAGAACTTGACGTAGCACCTTTGCGACGTTGCCCCTCACGTCGCTCACTAGTGTCTGTTGCACATTGTTTTTTTCCTTGCCTTTTTAAAAATCACTTTAGACCGACTAACACTGCCAAAAAAAAAAGAGAGGAACTGAAAGGTGACGCGTCATCAACAAGCAAAGGAAGGTCTCGCAATATACTCCCACAATTGGCTGGGTAACACGCACGCGTGCCCATGATTGACGAGAGAGAAAGTTAAACGACGCCTCCCTTTTGAAGTCATCCAAAAAGGCCAGGAGGGCACCATTCCGCCAACTACGTCATTTTTAAGTTTAATATTTTTAGGGCGATCCCAGTGAATCATTTTTGGTCGTTTGCAATAATAAAAGAAATATTGATGTAGGGGTTGTCAGTGGCCCTTTAACTCTGCGTACCGGTCTGAAAAGCACCATTCAATTTTTAGGAGAGAGAAGGAAAACCGAGACAAAGGAATGCATTTCTCACTTCCCTGTTTGTCTTAGTCTCTTGCATTGTGTAGGCCTGTTGAGTTTCGGACTTCTGTAGCCGGGGCTTTGTGTCGCAGGTGAGCCGCTCGTCACTCATTGCTGAGACCGAGTCCCCCAAACCCAGTGCCGAAACCAACGGAAAGGTGGAGAACGAAGAACTGCAGCAGGTTGCTCAAGGTGAGGGCGGCACAGCTCCCTGCATGCACAGCCAACAGCTTGCCCCTCAGGGAAAGTGGCCTCTTTGCATAACCTCTACATCTTGCACGCTCATTTCCAACTTCTTCGGAGCACTAAACGGAAGACCGAGTCTGGGTTTCTAAGAAGCTGCGGTACGAGAGCTGTGCTTTGCAAAAACGCACATTCCTTTTTCTTTAAGTATGCGTATCCTTTTGCGGTGCTCAAAATCTTGGGTGTCATCGAACGTTCGAGATTTCGTGAACGACGGTGCATGTTTGGAAGACAGGACGTCCCAAACTTCCCAACGTTTCTAGAGCTTTTGCCTTGTTATCATTATTTTTTACTTCTGCCCGACGCAAGGTCATTTCGTTGGTGCACCTCCCTTATTTCTTATTTGCGTCGGCATTTACATATTTTTGCCCGGAGTAACCACGTTAACCGTGGCTTTTATTCCTCCGGAACGTTTGTCGTTTTCTCTGGAGAGGGACGCATTCTTGGGAGCCCAGACTCGGTGTTCTCCGCGCCACGTGTGGCCGCCTGCCCCGCCCCTGGCCCAGGCGGCCCCTGACTCCGCGCACGCTTGGCCCTGTCTCCGTTGCAGTTCCCCCTGAGGCGGAGGCTTCCCCTCAGGGCACGGCCGAGCACGAGCGTGTGGAGCTCGCCAAGTGCGAGATGTGTGCCAAGCTAGGCACAAAGTCAAAGTTCAAAAAGTCCAAGCGGTTTTGCTCCTCGTCGTGCGTCAAGCGCTATAACCTTGCATGCTCTGAGCGCCTCGGCATTTTCGCCTTCTCCTCGGAACCCGAGAATGAGGACGAGCTGCCAGGTGAGGCGCCCCTTTCCCTGCTCACACCAGCGCCCTCTCTTTCTCTCTTTTTCTTTCTTGCTTGGCCCGAAAGAGAGCGAGGAACGCAGTAGTGGCTGCACGGTGCCTGTGCGGCGACGGGTAGTCTGCTCCCAGCAGCCGTTCCAACGGCCGTTCTCCCCCAACTACTATATCCACTCAAGTGGTGGATGCACCATCCACGGACGAAGCCTCTGTACCCACTTTCCCTCGTAAAACGCGGATCGTTCGGAGGGGGCGTCTCATTCGGATTCCAGTTTTTAAAAGATGAGATGATCGCGCATTCCGTCATCCGCTCCGTTTGAGCACCCTTTCTAAAATTCCGAAATTCTGGTCACGTTAGGTATGCGCAGGTCCATCGCATTGCCCTGTAGACGCTCACAAGTATGGCCTCTGGGCGCCGCCATCTTGCTGCTAGTGTGGGTAGGTCATCTGATAGTCAAGCATTGTGGAGGTGTATCCACAGCCTCAGCAATGCTTGACTATCAGACAGTCTACCCACACCAGCAGCAAAATGGCGGCGCCCGGAGGCCATACTTGCAAACGTCTATACCAGTTGAGAGAGAAAGGGGGGATTAGACGTGCCGATTAGTGAAATTAAGTCGATCCTCTGGGAGCTCGGTGTCCGTCACCGAACGCCTCCGCAGGCATTGTGCAGTTGCCTTTCTGTTACTTGCCCTCCTTTCTGGACCATGGCGGTGTCTGCTGCGTTCTTCTCACTTGCTACTCTTTTGCACCCTCCCCCGCACTAACGCTGTGCCTTTCTCGGCTCGTGTCTCGACTGCCGCATCTGGGCACGCTGGTTACCTGAAACCCTGCAATATTTGTGTACCACGGAGAGCTTTTGTTAGGTCTCTAGAGTTTTAGGATTTGCCAAAGGTATTGAGCGTTAAGGTGTTTTATAGGAGCCCTTTCCAAAGTGCTCAAAGGAGCTCGCTTCCTATCAAAAGCATACGTCGGTGATCCTAACACCAGGTTTTAGTTTGAAAATATGGTTTGAAGGTGTAAACAAGACCAAGAAACAAAGAGTGGCTTGCCCATGAAAGCTTTTTTAAAAAACAATCTGTAGAGATTAAAAATAATCCTTGTATAGCAATTTTGCCCAGAAACTATTCCTATAGTGGTCAAAGCTGCACACATTCAAGAGGTGGTGCTAGCGACCTTCCGATACAAAGGGTTCAGGTGCTTCCATTCATCCATCCATCATTCTAGGACCATCTTCCTGAAGAATCTAAGATTCTTGGCAAAATGTTGACTACTATTCTGAGGCTTCCTGGAGGTTTCTGCGCAACAGCAGTGGGCTTCTGGTATACTGCCAGTGAAACAATAATTCAGAGCCTAAGTTAATTTTAGTCAGCACCATTTAAATCAACCTATATAGCCTCCCGTAGTGAGGGGTTGGTAGATTTCAAGAACATGGGGGTGGGCATTCCTTGCTGATGACCACTGTCATTGAGTGAGCACATAATGTAAAAATAAGTGCTCTGGTTTAACACCATTGAGTTTCCAGCATGCCGTGCCCCCCCTCCCCCCCTTCCTCCCTCCTCCACATCAGCAACATACTATGCCACATTTCTTAGTGGTCGTTGGTTTACAGCAGCCTGCTTCTCAGTAACAGATGTTTTGGCCGGTTATATTCCCACAGTACGAAAATGATTTCAAGATATGTTCTGTTAGTCCTCATGAAAGGGTGTATGGGCTGTAGCACATATCAAATTGTACCAATGCTTCTTGAAGCCCCTCAGTTTTGGATTTAGGTGACATTTCGCAAAACTATCGCTTCTCATCAAGAATTAAATTTAGGTGGGAGGTTGGATAGCCCGAGATGGGAAGCCATGACATATGTTTTTCGTGAGGCATGTCCTGCGCAGAACTGACTCCTTTTTGGAACATCCAGGAAAGATCACCAAGAAGAAGAAGATGGGAAGAAAAAGCTGGAGGAAGGTGCAGGTGACCAACCTGCCTGCCTACTCGGCCGATAAATGGGTGAGGAGTGTGGCCCTGCAGGGCCTGCCTGCTTTTCCCTTTGACCCAAGGACTACTTGTGCACTTGGTGCTCACTTCCTCGGCAGCACCTGTTTTGTTTGCTGCTGTGTGAATATTACCGTTAGGGTTACGGTCGTCTCTGGAGTGCCCTTCACCCAATGTACCTCTCGCATACCTTTTCAAAATATTGTCTTCAGGGGCGCATTTCCCATTTTTAACTATGAAGTATAAATGAAATGGGAACTTTTCATACAGACAGAATGATGCAAAATTGATGACATTGCTAGTCAGACATTTTGTGTGATTTTAACCAGCTTCACAGTATTCCATCGAAAATTTTTTATTGTAAACTAAATATTGGGCAAAAAAGTTTTATTTTTCGGTGAACATTCATTTTGAGACATGCCTGTCCTAACCAGGTAGAAAAATCTTATTTAAAGGCGAAGCTTCTTAGGGTCTAGCCTTGTCCATCCGTCCGGCGTCCGTGCTCGCTTCGATTGCACTGCCTCCGGGATCGGCCCACTTAAAAAAAAACAAGAAACGTACACCCGTATGGGGGTTCGAACTCAAAACCGCTTGCTTACGAGGCAGACGTCTTAACCACTATGCTACACTTCAACGTTGCATGTAGCCGCTCAACGTCTATACAGGAGAGGGCGCTGCGGTCAAATGCGTATGTAATTGCGGTAAACTTTGCATGCATTGGCTCAACATTTATAGACAAGAGGGCGCTGCGGTCAAATGCTCAACTGCGTATATAACCACGATCCACATTCTCTTTCTGACATGGACCGTTGACTTAAGCGGTGGAGATGCATTCCCACGGCTTCTAGCGGATCCAAGCTGATCCGCTAGAAGAACCACTGGCTTTGCATCTCACCGACCATAAAGCAGTAATAATGAAGTCAAAATGCAATCCGGAACTCAGCACTACCTATGAGCAATAAAATAAAAATTGACCGCATCTCCACGTGGTGAATGATGTTGATTGGGGCGAAGCTCTGGTGGTGCTTGTCTGCGTGGACGCTGAGCCGCAGCATGCCGAGCCTTTCGTTCGTTTTCATCCATGTCAGAAAGAGAATGTGTGGTATGGAACATGGTTATATACGCATTTGAGCATTTGACCGCAGCGCCCTCTCCTGTATAGACGTTGAGCGGCTACATGCAACGTGTTTCATCCATGACATCCCCAGCTCTTGAGTTACTGCCACATCTCGGAGCCCCCTGCTCGTCCCGCAGTCGTGGCCAAGTGGTTAAGGCGATGGACTAGAAATCCATTGGGGTCTCCCCGCACAGGTTTGAATCCTGTTGACTGCGCAAACATTTTTTTTGTTTTTCATCTTTTTTTTTTTTTTTCCCTACACGAGCACGTGAGCTCACGAGCACGTGAGCTCACAAGCACGAGCACCAGCAGGATCAATGTGAGCACGGACGCCGGACGGACAAGGCTAGACCCTAGGGAGCTTCGCCCCTAAAAATCAGCACCATCAGCACTACCTATGAACAATTAAATCAGTATCATCAGCACCACCAGAGCTTTGCCCCAACCAACATCATTCACCACGTCGAGATGTTTCTTTCTTTTTTTTTTCCTAGGTTCAGTGTTATTTAAGTGAGAGTACAATAGAAGCTTGCTTATTTATGCCAAAATTAGCTTCCAGGTAAAATTGTATCGCTTTTCCTCTTTCATATCGACTAGTATTTGGATGACAGAACGGAAGATCATCTTGTCCTGTTTTCTCAGATGTTGCATACATTCTTGGTCGGAGTTAAATTGCGTGTAGAGTACAGTCTCCAAATTGCCGAAATTCAGTTGCTATGTTATCTGGTGCACTCAGGGGTGTGTTGAAGGTGTCTGGCATAGAAAGTTGCATGGAGAGTACGTCCCCTTGGTCCCGCCGAGCGGATTAGGGCCCCAGAAAGTCGCATTTTCGGATTGTAACTATCGCCAATTGAGCCCACCTCGCACTAAGTACAATGCAATTGGGGAATGAAATGTTGAAACTCCGTACAGATTAGTTAGTGAGTGCAGTTGAACCATTTCGGTCGGTGCTTCCTTTTACATGTATAGCAAAAACTTCAAAATCGGGCTATGCTTTTTTTTTTTTTGATTCCTCAAAGCTTTACTTTTTTTCTTGCAGGCGCAGCAGCAACCACAACTGCAGCAGCAACAGCAACAGCCACAACAGCAACAGCCACAACAGCAACAGCCACAACAGCAACAGCTGCAACAGCAACAGCTACAACAGCAACAGCTACAACAGCAGCAGCCACAACAGCAGCAGCCACAACAGCAGCAGCCACAACAGCAGCAGCCACAACAGCAGCAGCCACAGCAACAGCAGCCGCAGCAGCTGCAGCAGCAGCAGCAGCCACAACAACAGCAGCCACAACAACAGCAGCATCAACAGCAGCAGCCACAACAGCAGCAGCCACAGCAACAGCAGCTGCAGCAGCAGCAGCCGCAACATCAGCAGCCGCAACATCAGCAGCCGCAGATTCAGCAACAGCAGAATCAGCAACAGCAGAACCAGCAGCAGCAAGCGCAGCAGCAGGCACCATGCAAAGACAAAGTGCAGGCCATGGACACGAGTACTGAGCAGACGCCCGCGAGGGAAGCGGACGTGCCGAGTTTCCCGGGAGCAGAGCAGCCGCTCCACAAACCGGAAAGCTCCGTGGAGTCTCCGGCAGCAGCACCCACGGAAATGGAAGTGGACGCGTCCCCAGCCGCCCTGCCGAGCAAGAGCCCCCGCATCTGGACGGTCAGTGGCACTAATGGTTTCTCCTGGCAAGCGGGCTAGCCGAGTTGAACTCGTTTGAAAAGCAGATACGAGAAATAGTTCCGAATGAAATGTGTGGCACATAGAGGGTTGGACATTTTGAGTGGAACTCGGTTTCCATGGAGAAATATGCATCCCCAGTGGAGTGTCAAAACATTAAGAGCCGCTTTCTTCTTAAAAAAAAAAAAAAAAAAAGAACCTGGCACGCACATTTGTGGTGTGTTTATCTTTGACTACAGCCAAATGCCTTTTTAATGAATTCCAGGGGACCGGCCAAATTTTTCGGAGTACAAGTAACTTCGTTGTAGTAGTTGAGCGCAAGAAATCGATCACTCGAAACCGAATATGTGCTATGGCATATTCACGTACCTGCGCAACATTCGAGGTATTTAAGGAAAAAGTATTGTGACAAATATAGTACGAGCGACATAGGAAACGAGGTTTCGTACATTGACAATTGACTTGTCAAGAGAGAAAATGGTGGCCGAGTCTGCTAGCACATCGCAAATCGGAGCATGCGGGGTGAAAGCTCGCGCTGCAAAACCCAGGCATCTTGGGCTCGATTACCACATCTCTTTTTCTTTTTTTTTGTAAATGAAAATTGTATTATTGTTCGTTCGTGTACTCACCACTGCGTGACGCAATTGAAAGACACCGGGCTAGCAGTAGTTTCGCCAGTACCTCCACTGGCAAAGTTTGTCATCTACAGCCGAGACACCAGGCGCTCCTTGCTGTAAACTTATTTTCCGCCGTCCAAACTTCCAGACATCAAACTTAACTGACTTATCAAAATATGAATTGGAACAATCACTAAATCGCCGACGTCGACCCCCAATTACGCGGCGTACGAGACGCATTCGTCGATCGTGTAAATTTGGCCTTTTCTAAATCGGGCGGTGGCTTGCGCCACCTTATGTAATTCGAAGGAGCCACTTGGAGCGGCTGCGTTGCTCTCGTAGGAGTGGGTGCAGTAATCGTGGCAGCACTATCGTAGCAGCACGGCATGCAACAGCTGCATTGCACGGCGCAGCAAGGTTGGGGAGAGGTGCAAAACTGAGCGAACCAAGTCCCCTGAGTTCTTTTTCACATCTGTCTGGCACAAAGAGGGGGCACATTTTCCTGTGCGGCTGTACCAATTTTGCTCAGATCTTGACGTCGCGGGTAGAGCCACAGGTTTCCTTGACCACATAATATTGCTCCAAGGCAGGAGAATTAGGGACTCGGATCTAGCAAGCTTGGGAATCTTGGACGTGCCGACGTACATGCAAAAAAAAAAAAAAAGAAAACGACCATGTGCACTGCCCGAACAGATCATTGAAAAAAGAAAAGAAACTCGTCTTGGAGCAGAGTGGTGCGTGCTATAAGTAAACAGCGTGAGGAAAACAAAAGCAAATGAAACTATGCACGAGTGCACGCAGCGTGCGGCGGAGGCGGTGCCGCATTTCCCGCACCGCCTCCGTGTTGCGCGTTTTTGTTTTTGGGTATGAATAATTAGTTAGTAGCCAACCTCGTGTCTAGATGGCGATGGCGCCACGTGACTACGTTGCTGCCACTGATGTCTATGACAATAGCTGGGTCGCGCTTTCCCACTTAAAAATGCGGCCACCAGACGGCCATATCGTAGTGTTTTCTGCTGTTCGTTATAAACGGGTTTGACTGTATTAACACAGCTTAGAGGGTAAAAGCGCTAAAAAACAACGGACAAGTGAAGGAGACCAACACCACAGAGTGCTCTGTGGTATTTGTCTCTTTAACTTGTCCATTGTTTTTTAGTGCTTTTACCCTCTAAACTATGAATCACCAACTAGTCCAATTGCACACCCTTCTACACATTGAACACATAGGAGATTGGTCGGGACTCTACTTTGCTTCGTGAACTGGCGTTTTCCGAGTAGAGGTGCTCGTTATGAAGGCATTTGACTACTAATAGCTTTACCTGCTTAGTCTGTGAACGAACTCTCACTTTTGGGATAAAGAATGCTTAAATGTAACTAATGCAGTATAGACGTTTTCTGTTTCCTGCCGTTCTCAGTCACGTGGTTTCCATATCTGGTATGCGGGATGAAAAAATAATAAAACATTTCAACCTGGAAAATATGGGTGAAGCAAAACAAGAATGCGGCACAATCACACATTTTTTGTAAACACCTTCCAGAGATCAAAACAGTGTTTTACCGCATACCAAAAGTGATGACATTTGAGATGACTGTGCCCTGTGGAAAATCTGTATACTTAAGTACTTTAAAAAAATTTTATAGCTATATTAAAAATGTATATGCAGTTATTTTTTTTTATGTGCTTTTTGAAGAACTTTTGAATGAATAGCTCTTATATTGATACATTTTAATTATATAGAAACAAAACACATCTGACTCCGAGCATAGACGACTCATCCGAAAGCTTTGAAGGTTGATGCTTAGGCAATGCCATTAACCAGCTGTTTTCGCTTTTTGAGAAGCTAACCTACTTCTCACTTCTGTCTCCTGCCTCTCTTCTGAACTTGCATATTTCATTCACACACCCTCTTTCCTTCTCTCAGCATTCGGGGCTAAAGCGACTGTTCATTGCCGGCGGCAACCAGTTCGCACTTTCCACTTTTCCCTCCCTTCCTCCTCTCCCCCTTCTACCCTGTCCGCCGTTGCCTATTTTTTCCTGCCGCATGGTGAGAAGGATCTTCTGCCTTGCAGAATCTCGAGTCTGGTCGTCGGCCTTTAAGATTTTCTTACTTTGCTGCTCGTCGCTTTTTCTAAAGGAGGCGTCCTATTGCGGGGGATTCCCACGCAGGATAATATGTTGAAGCTGAAGACATAATTTTTTTCTGTAGTTGCGTCGATTACAATAATAGTATACTGACACAACTTCATCCGTGGCTCTAAGTAAATTTTCTAGCAGTCGGTTTGCCTTGCAGTAATGCACATAGGCACAAGCATGGTGCATTTCTCAATCGGAAGACAAACATACTGCAAGGGCTAGAGCTCGACAGTCTCATCAAAACCAGAAGGGGCGGGGGACGAGGAGCGTGCCATTGTGCATGCCATTTTGCCTGTGGAATCTGGCACACGAACCCGTTGGCTTGTGTAACAGAAACACGGTTAATTAAGGGGAAAGACTCTAAGAAAACAGAGGGATGTCCATCCTCATTGGATGCATCAACGAGGGCGACTTTCTCGACTCACACACATTCTTGGTTGCGGCTCAGACTGGTAATTAGCTCGGCTCGGCGGTCAACTTGCTCGGAGACGCAGAACCCACTTCCTCACGGGACGGTCTCTCCCCGCAGGTCCAGGAGGTGGCAGACTACATACAGGAACTGCCCGGCTGCACAGACTATGCAGAGGAGTTCCGGTCGCAGGAGATTGACGGCCAGGCGCTGTTGCTGCTCAAGGAGGACCATCTCATGACGGCCATGAACATCAAGCTGGGGCCGGCGCTCAAGATCTGTGCCAAGATCAACTCCCTCCGGGAGGAACAGTAACCGCCACCCGGGCGTGGCCACCGCATGTGTTCCAAGTCTCCCCGCACAGTGCTCAAAGGGTGCGCAGGCGCCGTCTTCCGCCACTTCCGTCGGCCACGTGGCTCCCGTTCCCAACAACCGCCGCCGTACGGCGGCATCGTGGTCGACCGAGTCAAGATGGGCAGCGATGCGCGTGAAAGTGCGCTCCGGCAAAGGGCGACCAGAGAGGACCGAACGTGGGAAGTGGCCTGCATTTCATGCGAATAGCCGGGCTTTCCTCCCAACGAGAAGTCCGGAAGACTTTCCTTTCCCGTTTTTTTCTTTATTTCTTTGAGAAGAAAGAAAAAAATGTGGTGGGTGGCAGTTTGCTTTACGGAGAGGATGATTTACATCCAAAGGATGGAGAAGTTCCTCTCGTCTCTTTTTGTCCGACGAACGACCCGGAGGTGCAATCTAACGCTCACTTTTTATTTATTGTTGTGGAGGTAAGGACACTACCGGGAAGAAAGGCCTTCCTCTCTACGTCTTCAGTGTGGTCTTGTGAAGCCCGTTACGACAGGTTAACGAGAAGAAGCTCATCTCGCACTTCTGTCGAACTGTACAGACCTTCGACCTCAAACTGCCGCTGTTTACGGATTTTGATCCTTGTGCCCTAGCTCCCATTTGTTTGCACATTTCGCGTGATGGGTCGTACATAGCCTTATATTTTTTTTTTGCAGCCAGTAGGAGGAGAAAAAGTGTTGTAAGTGAAGTATTTTGTATTTATTGCCTCGCTGGAAGAGTACAGTAATTATTACTTAAGAGGAAGGTGCCCAGATGTTAATAAAATGCTTTGTCCTCTCAAAATTGTCACGCCTTGCACCTGCGCAGGTTTGTACGTCTCATGCACTTCACATTGGCAACGGGCCCTTTCCGAAATTGCTCTTGGCAACCATTGGACACTGCCGCGACGGTTGCATAAAGTGTGACTGGCTACTGTGATCGGACCCTGTTGTTACGATGTATAGACCTTTTCTGCAAGTGCGCCGCCATCTTGAATTGACGTCACTTCCAGTATGGGCGAAAACATTCTTTTTCCTTTGCCACGCCAATAGAAGGCATTTAGGATATAAGCATAACCGTCACACTTTCTCGTTTTGCCTCCCTTTTATTTTTTTTACTATTTGCAGGTTGAAACAATGGATTATTTTTTCGTCGCGCATACTGGACACGCCTATTAGGTGGCTGGGGACGAGAGTACACAGAAAAGGTCTATACCCCCGTGATCGCAAGTACCAGCACAGGTTCACTGTGACCAGGAGTTTACACTACGGCATACCTGCCAACTCTTCCGAATTTTTCGTAAAATGTACGAATTGGGAGTAATTTCACGATTTTACGAATCTTGCTTCAAATCTTACGAAAAACATATTTTTTCTAAATTTTTTTATTTTATTTTTATTTATTTTGTCGTTTTTGTAACTCTGTTGTTGGTGGTATCTTGCACCGCCATAGAGGACGATAGGTACCATCCACAGCAGCGTCGTGGTTTTTACTATCCGGTGGCCACGTATCGAAAACCAATCCAAAGCTCAAAGCCTTTGTTCGTGTGTTCGGCGGTGCACGGGTGCACGTTGGTTCAGCGTGCTCAGACGTTGTTGGGCCTCGTTGCTTCGGCCAGTTTCGAGGCGAGAAGTACGGCGTCTGTGTTTGTTGCACATGTAACTGTAGCATTCTCCTGGTCACTGTGGCTGGTCACTGTGCCGAATTCCAGACCTCAAAAGAGGTACTTTCAGGTGTTCCTTAAGTCCTACACGTCAAAATTTCCGTGCTTCGTGCTGCCCAAAAAGCGAGAGAAGTTTGGATTCTGTAGCACGTGCACGTGTGATGTAAGCGTTTCGCACGCTGGCCAGGCTGACATTAAGGTGCAACCCCACCCCCGGTTAGTGTGATTCTGAACCAACAGATAACGGTGGGATCGCCCTCCAGGCCTGTACATCAATGCGAGAAATTGTGTGTGGTGGCGCTTCGATACAGTTGGATATTCTTCTATATCCAGAATTTGACATCCCTGGTCCCTTGCTTGGTTTTCTCCAGTCATGGGTAAGTTACTTTTAAAAAGTAATTCGTTACAGTTACAGTTACTTTCACAAAAAAGTAACGAAGTTACCGTTACAGTTACCGCAACAAAAAAGTAACTCGTTACAGTTACAGTTACTTTCAAAAAGTAACCACGTTACTTTTCAGTTACTTTTCTAGAACACAAAAATTAAGGAAAAACTAATGTTTGAAAGAAAAAAAATATAGACACGAATCAATCGGGCTTTCACCATAGCGGTAAATTCAAACTTAATAATTTAGCTGGAAAATTAGTCAATATTATGAAAAGAATAAAGACAAAAATTGAACTGGATGTGTTTTCTCAGATTTGAACACGAAGACTTGTTGTCGGAGTACTCCTTGTTGCAAAGTTTGCATACTGCGGTCAAATAGTTAGCAACCAACTTCACCACACAAAAATACTCTGTACGCCGGCCATGCTTGTTCTTTGTTCTGTTCTCATCAACCTCCCTATCCTTGTAGCACTAGCACATTGCTCGCTCGTTGACGGTTGCGCTGTGTCCGTGGACTCCTTTGATATATTTCAGTTCGTACCCGGCAAACCAGAAACAAGCCCTGCGCAAACAACAGTAAATTTTGCCTCCACCGTTGAAACCACGCCGGAGTAGTGGCGCAAATCAAGATACGAAACATGCACAGTGCGGAGTAGTGGCGCTAATCAAAATACGAAACATACGAAGTTCCCTCCGCCTGTATTGTTGTTTCACGGTTGATTCACCCGATTAAAATGCGTGCGCAGAAAAGAAAAAAACCGCAACAGAGGTAGTGCTTCAATATACTAAGATGTAAGTGTTCAGTCACAAAGTACAAGCAAGTGCGTAAAGATAACTACATTCTTCTTTTTTTTTTTCTTCATGAAATCTACACGTGGCTATATTCGGATAGTGACTCGCGAGAAAGAACGTATTCTCAAGTTTGTGCAAGGCCAAGTGACACTCAAAATGACGAAACAGACACTTTGGAAAGTGCAAGGAATAGCTAGGTTATACTCGTTTAATGATATATTATTCACAAAGAACTGAAAAGTAACGACAAAAGTAACTTCGTTACTTTCATCGTTACCTCAGAAAAAAGTAATAGAACTACAGTTACAAGTTACATTCTTAAAAAGTAACTCGTTACAGTTACAAGTTACCGAAAAAGTAACGAAGTTACAGTAACGCGTTACTAGTAACGCGTTACTACCCAAGACTGGTTTTCTCTGAACGAGCTTTCTTTGGAACGCGCACGGCTGCGCCAGTTCTCGTGCAAGGGGGCCAGTTGCCACGCTCCGAGCTCACGTCTCCAGCAAATGTAGGCAGAACAAAACGCGAAAATCGTCCTGAGCCAAATGGCGAGACACGTGCACAACAAAACTACCGACGCATTGAAAAATATAAAATTGCCTGTGCGCCGTTATCGGAGATTTCGTAGGCCAATGACACATATCACAATGTGATCAGATTTATACTGATACGAATGAAGGTGACGGGAGGACGAACAGTGAACTGAAAAATAAAGGTTTAATCGGCGAACTTGTTCCAAACAAAAAAAAAAGTAAATAAAGAGCGTCGATGCAGCAGAAAAGCAGGCGGCGATTCGGCAGCGTAACAAAGAGCGAGAGCGAGACTGACTCGACAAGGTCGCTGGCAGCTGCTTATCTAGAGTGCGTCACGTCACCGTCTCGAAAGTTCAGCAAAGAAGGTTCGAGCGTCGCGCGTTCGGGGCGAGGATGAACTGGCACTTTCGAGGACGAGAAAACAGGGCGAAAGTTCCGTCTGGCGCAAGAATGAACGCGAATCTTCCAGAAGTCCGTGACCGAGCGTTGCTTTCTCGGCTCTGCGGGCGTCAATATGACGGGCCGGCCCTTTTATCGTGCATGTGTTTGGATCTTTGTGGATTTCCAGCAAAACGTGATGACGTCATAGTCTGGTTTCCAAAATTCTAGCTTGAGGAATTAACTACCTAAAAGAAAATACTATTTTTTGGGCGGTCAGGTGTCTCCTTTAGGTAGCTGGGTGTTTATTTTGATCCAAACCACGAGACTGGAAAACACAAAAAATAACACTCAGGTTTAGATGTTGAGTTTGGTAAACCCAAAGTAGGACTGGTTCGGGTGTTATAATAAAAAAATGCCGAGGTTAAAAATAAACTCGCAGTAATAAAGAATAATTATTAATTTTAATACGAATTCGGTGATAAATGCAACGACTGACCAGGCAAAGATTCTGGGTGTGTTGATAGCTTTTGCACATAGTTTAAGCAACTTGCAGGGTGTCACAAAAGAAAAAGATACAGGGTTTCTTTTTATCGCAAGAATAAACTAGGCATTGCCGAACGCTCATTCTCCGCCGCTAGAGGTACAACCAGATGTCAAAGTTTCAGCCCAATACGATACCTTCTTCAAGAATTATAAGTGATTTTCTGAAAAGTTCAATGGGGAAATAGCGGCCGTCGGAGTTTTCGAATATATAGGGCTCTATGGCACCAGAAACGAAAAACGAAAAAATGGGCTCCATTTTTCCCATTGGAATTTTCAGAAAATCACTTATAACTTTTGAATAAGGTGTCCGTTCTGGATGAAACTTTGGCATCTGGTTGTGACCTAGCGCTACCTTTGGGCGGAGAATGAGCGTTAGGCAATGCGTAGTTTATTGTTGCGGTAAAAAAAAAAAAAAAAAGCAACCCTGTAAATTGTTTCTGTGACATCCTGTGCCAGTCTTAATTTGGTGATTCATGCGCGCAAGTAGTGGTGTGCAAAAATGAAAACAATGCAAACGGGTAGGCTTTGACGTTGTATAAAATATAGTGTAAGCACGCACATGGTACGCTAATTAAGAATGAAACAGCCCTACGTTTTACACTAGCGTTGAGCGTTTCATTGTGTTTGAATACTCATAGTAATTTATTACCCTCAGATTTGGTGTAAGTTGTCTCCTGATTGCTTACAACAGAAAGAAGGAAACATTCTAACTCTGGGTTGGTAGAAAACTCCACCTGCTGACGGCCACCAATCATCTCGGCGCCGATTATGAATATTCACTGCCTGCCAACGGTCGCGTGCTTAGAGCGAGTTTTGCCCACGTGATTTCATACGATCGCAATTGTTCTTGACAAACAACAATGTTGTCAGGCAAGCGGTCATAAGTGAAGCTTAGAATATTTTCTATTGGTTGTGGCACACGTAACAAGTTGCATAGGTTTTTTTTTTTTTTTGTTTGTTTTAGAATCCGCGAAAAAGAATGCGTTTGGGTTACCTTGGTCTCTAATAATTCGTGTAGCACACAAAAGAGCACGAACTGAATCGCTGTGGGAAACGAAAACAATAATGATAAACAAGCGCGTAATCACGCGAAAACTGAGGGCATTGCAGATATACAGAAGGTAAGCTTTGTTTCACTAAATACGTTACTACTAAAGTATTTGGTTTTATCCTGCGAGCGAAGCGGAACATACAAGTGCGAGCATGCTGTCCTGAACATACACTTCCAGTGAACAAGCGCACCATCCAAAGCACCGAGCTCGCTTTTATAGTGTTTGGTGCGCTCAAAGATCCCCCACTGGAACAAGCGCACCATCCAAAGCACCGAGCTCGCTTTTATAGCGTCTGGGGCGCTCAAACCTTGGAAAACACAATTATAATCAATTCTATTATTTCAAAATATTTTTATTAAGTGCGCCTATGTTTTTTTTTTTTTTTTTTTACTTTTACGTTCACGTGCCATTTTCTTAGTTATATAATATTTTTCCAGAAGTCTGACAACTAT